GGGAGAATAATTTGCAAGTTGAGTTTCTGAATTTTTCAGCTGATAAAAATGAATCCTTTAAATTAATTGTTTAATAAGAAGTTTTCGTTATTTCTTTTCTGATTAAATTTGTAATTGGATGATGTATTGTGCCAGGGAATGACTGGTGTCATAAATCAATAAACATCACTAATGAAAAAATCAAAAATTTAAAAAAATGAACCATATATCTAAAAAATAATTTAAATAAACTTTCAGATGATTAAAAAAAGCAAAGTTGGTATTCAAGTGCAATTGAAGATTGATTTATTTTGCTGATGATAATTAAGTAGCAAATCATTTCCATGAATCTTTTGCCTGCAATTCGCCAAGCTTGTTCATTTACTCAGACGATCACCGGCCCATTGCAATCTGTTTAATTTCTAGGCGGAAACGGAAAATTATCGCTGTCAAAATTCACGAAAAAAATCGCCAGTGCAGATCGACTGCGAGTAGCAATTTGCTAATTAATCCGATCGGAAGGCAGGGTAAAGCACCTTTCAAAGTCAAAGACCTGCCAAATTGCTCTCTTTCGTTTTCTTCTCATTTCTTTCCTGCTCGCACACTCACGGCAATTAGGCTTCTCTGAAAGACGCCGAAAGAGAGCAGAGCGTGATTCCTGTGTTGTCTCATGCTGCGGCTAACGGGGCAATTGCTCTGCAGCCCGAGATGGTACAACGGCCTCCCTCTCAGCGAAAATCAAGATCGAAATCTGATCCCGGCGGCTGGTGCGGAGGAAAAGCGGGCTTTGTGCGGAATTGTATATTATATGGGAAAGGTGTGCGGGTGGGTCGAGGAAAAAAATTACAAAGCAGCAGCCTGAGCAGATGCTGGGCGGACGAGCTTTAATTTCGCCACACCGGCCTGCAGGTGGCTGCGAAAATTCGCACGTTTTTTCTTAATTAGGCTTCTGAATTTGCACTGATGTAGAATTATTTTGAAGGAAAAGCAAAAGGGCGTTATTATTATTGATTTGCTCAAGTCTTGAAAAAAGAATTGAAATTTGATTAAGAAAAATTAGCAGAAATATAACAAAAAACAATAAGTGGTCTGCTAAAAACGCGCGACATCAAAAGAGACGCGGAATTCTGTTGATTTGTTAGTGGTGTGTTTTTTTCAGTTTTTTAGTGCAGATTTGTTCCGTGTTTATGTTGTTTAGTGTATTTCGTTTTAATATTCCAAAAGAAATTGATTTTTATAGGAATTCAGAATAATCTAAAAGAATCTGGCGAAATAAATAGCAAAATTTAACTCCCTATATAATTTATTTCTCAAAATGAGCTTGATCTCGAAATTTGCATTTAACTTATAAGAGAATACAGTAATTGTTTTAAGTATTTCACCATTATTTTTTCCCAAAATTTTTTTTCTAAAGGAGTGGCAAAGAGTATTTTTGGTTGCCTTTGAAGAAGCCGTTCTGCGTTCGGAAAGCGGATACAATGAAGAAAAAATGCACGTGTGCCCTCAGTAAAAACGTGACACTCTCATTTAAAGAATCGGTCACGCCGAAGCTTTGGTATGACGCGCGCGTGTTATGTGTGTGCATTAACTTTGCAGAGGTTCAGACTCAGACTCCCGCATTGAACTTGCCTTCCGAAGAACCCGGTTTTTGTTGCCAAAATAACTCTTTCGTGTCTGGGCGGCTCGACCACTGCATCGGAGTTGCACAAGTTTCGGTGTGGAAGCTTTTTGAAATAAACAAAGCTAACAAAGTTTCACGCCTTTGTTGCCACTTGGCTGGCTGTTGCAAAATTTTCGCCGCCGCTGCAGTTTTCTTTTGCACCGTGTCCTCCATTCGATTGAACACCTGATTACATTTTGTAAAGAAAGACGAAGCGCAGCCTTCTGGCTTCCTGCACACAGGACGTGTGTCATGAGCGATTAGGATGGAAAAGAAGCACGTGTCCTCACGCCGCGTGGGCCGCTTTTTGTCATACACTCCGCCATGTGTGCGTTTTCAGCAGTCACACACACACAGAACACACGCAAAGATTAAATGAATCTAATAATGTCTCTTGCAGCGATTTGAGGAAAAACGCCCCCAGAGTGTTTTCCATTTGACCTTTCACTTGCATGACGTAGAACGAGAGGAATAAAAAAGTGGTGCGCTATAAAAAATTAAAATAGAGCATAGAATTTATTAGGGAAGAAAAACTTCTCGGCCGATTCAAAAGCCTAATCTGGCCAGGCCCATTGTTAAATTGAAGTTGAATTAACCCTTTAAGCTAAAGCTTCATTAGACAATGCCAAACGGTCAATTTTTAAACACAAAAATTTTATAATCAACTTTAATATTTAAACCCAGTTTAATAACGACCGTAATTGGAACCCCGCTAGAGAAATGTAGAGCTATGACATAAAATCAACAAAATCAAATAATAGTGATTTGAATTTAAATTCGGCTTTTCCTCGATGGGTTTTTGTGTTTTTATTGTGAAAAAACAATATCCTGCTCTACATGTTTTCTCTCGACCACCGCCGGGAAAGCTCATGAATTATGGCTGCAGCCCGCAGCCGAAACATTTAGAGTAGGATATTGTTTTTTCTTAAACAATAAAAACTCACAAAAACTCATCGAGTAAAAGTCGAATTTAAAATCAAATCACCATTCATCAACCTTCGATCATGAACTTCTACTACAAAATCAAATAATTTGAGGAAAAGTTTTAAGCTTTTCAACGATACAATAACAAAATTTTATGTTAGACAAGATTGTATTAACCAGATTTCTGGTTAATATAAGCTGAGGCTATTAGGTTAGTATCTTGGATCGTCCACAAAAGTAATAAGAATTTTGAATTGGGAATTTTTCAATTCTAAATGAAAATTTTATTTGGGTTGACACTTTGAGAGTTGAGAGTGAAAACTGAGGTGTAATTAATTAGTATTGACGTCTAAGCATCCTACATGGTGTTAATCTAGTCAATCCATAACAAGTGCAAAAATTATTTTAGTGTTTACGATAACGTGCAAGTGCACCTTAACACGGTTGCTAATCTCACGTGTTCTCCATTTCGTACTTTATACAAGTTTGGTGTGTGTCAAAATTTCAGCTTTGTTCACTTTGTTGTTTATTTGGCTTCACTGATAAAATAAGTACGTTTGAAAAACAACTTACTGCTGACAGAATTTACTCCATCACTCTGATTAGAAAAATTACTTGCAAAAATATAAACTTCAAAATTAACAACAAGCAGAGGAAAAAAATTAATTTGATACTTCTTGTGAAATCGACAACTTTAATAATTTTTATATTATGGTGAAAAGATTCAGCTCTCAATGACTTTTTAGAGTATGGTATGACGTTTTTTGTTAAAAGTTAGGTTAAATAAAAAAAATAGAAAATAAACTAGTACTTTTTTACTATTCATAAGTCAATAAAGATCAATAATAATAGTAATTAATATTATGGAGAACCACAAAACATCATCAGCAAAAATTGAATCTTCACAGTTAAACATTGTTTTCCCTCAATTCAACAGCATAATTATAAAACGTAAATGAATAAGAAAAATTTAATACCTATGTTTATTGCTTTATTTGTCTGAGTGTTCCCGTTTTGACATTTAAGGTGTGGTCATTTTTTTTTTATATTATTTCTCTTTGATGCCGCGGCTGAGCAAACCGAAACGGCCCTTTAACTCTACCCGCGTCTGTCACTCTAGCCGCTCTTTAAAAGTGGTGACGCCCCAGCTGGAAAAAAACATATATAGGGCTCATTTACGCCGCAATATTAAATTCTGTGCGTCGCGGGAAGGGCAAATAATTTTTATTACCCTCCAGATAACACTTATCTTCTCGGCTTAGCCGTTTTTCGTCACACCACATATTGTCTTCCAAATATCGTAAGCGAGGGCAAGCGAGTGTATTATATCTACTGCCGCCTTTAAATATTCAAAACGATAGACGGCAAAAGTGCTCTGGACGCGTTTTCCTATATCGATTGGCACGGAAATATGTTTGTGGAGCGGGTCGCCGTGCTTTCCGTGCCACTGTGCAACCAAATCGGGCACAAAAATTGAGCCGCCATGATTTTGATCAGAATGAAAAATGGGGTGAAACAATTATTAATATACATAAAAAGATAGACAGACGGTCATTAGTAAAACCAAGTAGGCTAACAAAAACATTAATTTGAATTTTTTATAAATTTTTCTTTAAATTTCGTAATTTAAAAATGATTGTACTTTGTTGCGAAGAAGTTCAGGACCGAGGTATGTTTGCAGAATTGAGTTTTACAAGACTGCATTTTCGTTATGTGCTGGTTTTTTAGTTGCAGATAAATGAAAAAAGTTCTCCTTTAAAAGCAACAGCAAAAAGAGAATGAAAAGTTTCAATTTCTAAAAAAAAAATTATTTTAAATAATTCAGCCAGTTTAAGCCTAATTATACAAGACATAGTACTATTAAATAATTATAATAAACAGACAAGTAATTTAATCTAAAATCTCCAATACCAACATTTTATTTTCTCTCCTCAGTCTTGATAAGTTTTTAAACCCGTTTTGTGCCTCAAAGAGTTTGCAGTGATAAGAAATGTAGAACTTATGTACTTAATTTTAAAAATCTATTTTTTCTACTAGTCCAGCCGACTATTTCGATCCTTGGCCACTATTCAAGGTTGCCGTGTTTGTTATTCTCTGAGGTTTTCACGATGCAAGAGGTGCGAGTCGATGTAAAGATTTCCTAGTTTGGGGCAAACTGATCCGCCGAAAACTCGCCTCGCCCGCCTCTGCTAAGGCTGCCCGTCGATAATTTGTATATATTTGCACTCATTGAACTCAAGGACGTTTACTTTGAAGCGGTAATCGGACAGAACAAGACGCTAACATTCACGGGCGAAATATATATTTGTCCAAATCATTAGCGCAATTTTGAAGTTATCGAATGGAATATTCCATCCACAACTTTTAATTTCGTTTCTTCAGATTTGAATGTTTTTTGCTGAGATTAAATTAATTTTTCTTCTTTTTTTGTTTCCAGGGGACATCAGTGCGGTGTTTACGTACCTGTGGAAGGGCGAGTCATTGGCGCAGAAGTTGGACAACGGCACCCGAGTGATAATGAGTATCGGCGTTGGCAGTTTCTGCTCGAGACCCTACAGCAGCATTAACCGGTAACCTTACTTTTATTTTTTCTCAAAAATTTCTCTTCCACAGTGTAAATAATTTTTGAATAAATTCAATCTTCCCTGATATTCCATTCAGTCACCCCTTCTTCGTCTTTCCGCCAATTTGCGATCCTCGAAAGGCGACCGCCAATTGCTACATTATGTTGTGAGTTTTTAACCTGTGCGGAAACTAGTAAAGCTAGAGTTGAATAGAAAAATTTAGAGCCAGCGCGTTTTGTCGCATTTATTTCAGAGTCGTTTTACTTTTTTGGCTCGTGTTCATCGGTGCAACGCGGGCTGCGGCCAGAAATACAACGATTTTGTGCGCCAACTATACTTGTTTTAGTCACAGCGCCGTTGGAAGATAATTTTGCGTGCGCTCAAATCAGCCAGTGTAATGTGTGTGGTGAGGGGCCCGCATACATTCATTGTTATGAAGTTATCCGCATTCTCTTGAAAAAATATTTGCAACAACGTCATCGCGCGTTTCTTGGCTAGCCCAGTTCTCACGCAAAAATGTTATTTCATTTTGAAAATGACAAACGGCATTGCGTTCACGCTATTCATTAGAAAAGTGGCTACGTGCTTTTTTGCTTTTTCTCGTCTTATTACATGTTTGAACACTTTTTTTGATCAAACTGTCTAAATCTAATTTAATCTAATCTCATTATTTAAACCAACATATTTTCAGAAAAATTCAAAATTTGCTTCAATTGCTCATCAATTTTCTGACTGATCAACTTACATTAATTTATTCCTTCATATTATTTGCGCATTTTTGGTGTTTTATTATAACAAAACAAGATGGATTGGTCGCATTTGCCTCATGTGAGCAGTCACTGTGATATAATATTTGTAGTGCTCGGAGTGAAAGAATAAGCGTATAGTTTTTTTGCTGTATTCATATGACTCATTACTGTATCAAATGGAGAATAAATAAATAAATAATAAATACTTTTATGTTGCTCGATCTGCTCTCGTACTATTATGAAATAGGTTCCTCCTTGCGTTTTGTAAAGCGATAAAAATTTCGGTCAGCCGCTTCTCATATAACAAACAATAAAATCATCGAAATTTTGCCAAGAAACCGAAGCTCACACTTTGATTTGCTAACTTTTGAATCCATTTATTTTGTTTTGTTTGACAAATTTCATTCTCACCTTCGCTTTTGGCTTTGTTTCGTTGTTAGCTTATTCAAGGCAAGATTTGACAACAAGGAGTCAAGCCTGCCTCAAGTCCATTACATTATTACACTCTAGGCGTGCGTTGCAGTAGTGGATTTATACTTTCACTTGGCTTTCTCCGCGCGCGGATGCATCGCACGGCCCCACCACTGCTAGTGTCGCGTTTAACGCAGTGATTTGCATAAAAATGCTGCAGTCTAGTATAAAAATACTGAGGAGCGATTCAAATCGGTTTGAATTACATAAAAAGCAGAGAGAATCGCGCCTCATATTTCACGCATACCAACAACTTACTTGTCAAACAAAGGAGCCCTAATGTAAATTTTTCCTGTTGAATGATAGATAAAATATCATTTAAATGACGATTTTAATTTTAATTTTTTTTAAATACTTAATAACTTAATAAAAATGCAAATAGTTCTAGGGGAATTTACTTACTTGTTCATATGTTTTAAAAAAGTATTTAGCATCACATTAAATATTTCTTAATTTTTCTAAAATGATTTTTCTCAATAAAAGAATGAGTTCCCTTAGCTTATAGCAATAAAAAAGTGGAAGAAAATCTCCGAAGCCAAAAACTGGAAGCTAAATATTTGAGTCTATCTTGAAACTTGCTTGAGTAATAATTGCAAAATACACAGTTAATTATTTAATTTCCATAGTATTTTGGCTAAAAAGTGGTCGTTTTGAACACTTATTGGGAAGTTTTCTTTGAATCGTATGGAGGAAAATAGAAATAATAATTGTTTATTTAAAAAAATGTGCGAAAACTATACTTCTTTTAAAATGATATTTATAGTTTTTTTCAAAATATAAGTTTTAGCGTCTTCATAATTTGGTTTTTTGTTACATTTTGAATAATATTTTAATATTTCTTGACTGAACTATGGGTAGAAAATAAGTTGTTTTAAAATAATGTTAATTTATTAAAAAAAAAAAAAAAATGGACTTCAGCTTTTAAAGCTTGTAATGTAATAAAAAAAAGTCAGTAAAAAACCGGTATCCAGGACTTGAGAGAATTGAATTTGGACGATAATCGTTAAAAAAAAATATTATATAATTCTTAAAACTCTTAAAAGTTAAAGAAAAATTCAGTCATAACTAGACTTATATAGAATGCACAATATTGTTCCGAATATTCAAATTTGAGGCGAAACTCGGCGGATATTGCAGTAGCACCTGTGATCGCACCTACTCTTATCGCATTTTACGACTCATTGTGCGACACTGCACGTTTCCTGATAACCGCGAACGCAAACACCTGCTCGTTCTCGACGGCTCTGCTTTTTGCAACACGAAAAGCGCAGCTTGGGAAAATGTAATAATGAACGTCGTTCTGATTCGCGACGAGAGGTGCCAAGGTCGCAGGTTTGCGGAAGCACTCCAGTTTGCATGTGGGTCTGCGCCCGGCTGCCCGCCCGAGTCAAGGCGAAACAAACACCTTCTCCAAAGGTGCGCCCTGCGCCTCTCTGATTCAAAACACAGAACTCTCTTGCAATTCACCATTTGCGAAATCGAATAACATTGGTTCTTATGGCAGCCTCATCTTAGAATGATTGAATCATTTCAATCCTAAGACATGTTGTACTAGATGCAAAATAAAAAATATTGGCGTTGGAAAAATCAAAATTGGTTCAGCATGGGGCTGTAGTCAGGCGATCAAAGATTTGTAAAGTAGGCAACCGAAGCCAATTTTTGGAGTTTTTACAAATCTTTGATTGCCTGACTACAGCCCCACGCTGAACCAATTTTGATTTTTCCAACGCCAATATTTTTTATTTTTCATCTAGTACAACATGTCTTAGGATTGAATAGATTTAATCATTCTAAGATGAAGCTGCCATAAGAACCAATGTTATTCGATTTCGCAAATGGTGAATTACTAACCAATCGACGAAACAACTTCTCGCGGCGAAAAGGAGTCGGAAGTGCTGATTGTGAGAGAGGAGTCGATCAAGGTCCCTCTGCGCTTGGGACTGGTCACGTTCGCTCGACTGGTTTCAGCTGGGCATCTCCTTAAGAGAATTCCTAGAAATATCAGTTCAGAGGAAAATAAACGAGTTTCAGATTATCGGATTGGTATATCATTATGATTTTTAGCGACTGAATTTTAATGTTTTTACAAAGTACGTGCTATTTATTTTCTTGAATTTCATTAAATTTACGTTTTTAAAAGCTTTTCTAGAAAATGTATGTGTTTTCTCCTCGCCAATTTTTATATTCATTCATAATTTTACTTCTAAACTCTATGATGCATCTCGATTTGGGCAGAGATTGCCTTGCGGTGAATTAGTTACTTTTCATAATGTATGCAAATAAAGTTTTTTCAAATTTTACAAATTTCTCTCAATTTTAGTTTTTCAAGGTTAATTTTTTTAGTATTATTTTAATCTGATGATGTCGAGAAGTGGCATACATATTTTAGGGTGTCTAACTAATGCGCCGAGATAAGAAAATCATGCCGCGATAATTGGGATTATTTTTGTTTTCATCTGTCATCCGAAATAAAAACATGTTTTTGAGGTACAACACTTCCATAACGTCAAGAATTGCGAAACTGAATGAATATTAAAAATGCGCACGATTGTTTTCTGCGAGTGAATGTGAATAGTTTCGAGGGAACGGAAAAGTCGCGAATCTAATCTGGCGAGAACGTGATCGGAATGAACAACAGTAATTTTTCGGGCCCCATTATTTCTGCTCTGTATGCGTACGCACGACGACGAAAATCACTTTCGATTCTGCGACCATATGGCTCTCACTCGAGACTATTATACTCCAATATCCGAAAGTCACGCCGAATGTAACTTTTCTTCTTATGCAATTGAGTTGATTTATTTTGGTGTCCAAAAATACGATAAATTCATATAATTACAAAATAAATTTTGCTTGGATTGGCATCAAATTCTGCTAGGCTAAAATTTCTAAATTAATTATATTTTTGAGAAATGTATATGATCTATTTTTTTTTTAAATTAATATCTTTGAGGGATTGTTTAAATTCTATTAGAATTTTGGATGAATCTGAATGTTGGGTGCAGTAGTTTTTGTGTTGCCATGAGGCTCGAGCGAGAGTCGAGAAAATCGAAGGTTGCTGGTTTTGCGCTGCTTGCGCACCGGCATGCAGTAATTGCTTCTCAGCTCGATAACTTACAAACATATTACCAAGGAAGAGGAACTTATTAAATACTTTTCATGCCCAGCACTGCGGGTAGAATTCAATAAAGTTCTCAATTGCGACTGGAAAAAGCGAATTTAAAGCCTAGCAAAACAGACATGTTGACCTCGAAAAGCCAAAGTTTTCGAGAGCAGCGCCGAGGACGAGGGCAAACAACCGCAGGCGCAGTTCTGGGTGAAAAATAATATCAATCTGAGGCGGGCAATCAGTCCAACAACAAGTTATAGGGACTTTTTAGCAAATATTTCAAATGAAATTCTAAACATGAATTTCCATTTTTTTGTTCTTTGTTTATACAGATAATTAACAAAAAAATTAATGAGGATTGAAATTAAAAATTTTCAGTAATTTTTTTAGTTCTTTCACAACAGGTCAAGATTATTTTTTTGGGGAAAAATTACATTGAGGAGAGAATTGGCAGCCAGCCCTAGTAAACAACTAACTAAAACTCATAAGCATAATTTGAAAGCAAAAGTGTTTTCCAAATTAAACCTACTTGCCGAGCTGGAGCCGAAAAAGGGGAAAGTTTCAAAAAACAGTCACATATTCTTTACATGCAATTTTAAACTCATAAACCCTACAATTATTTAACGCAGTTGGCAAGGAATTCCACTGATTCGCGATTTGTAAAGAAAAATTTAGTCACCCGAGCTCTGTGCGCACTTTTGGAAGAATTAAGCGGTGCTCTCCGCCGCTATTTCTTATCACTCGGCCTGTGGTGATTCTCGACTTTGCGTCCATGTCAGTCTCGCCACTGGTGCATTTCTTGAAAAACTAAGTCATTGAAATCAAGCTGCTGCTGCACCCGCAGCAACTCGTGTTCGGCAAATTGTTGTGTTATGCAAATTATTTCTATAATTTGACAGCTTAAAAAATTTTTAGTAGTTTCAAATTTAATTCTTTTCTTTTAATAAAGAAGGGATTGGAATTTTTAATGTTTTGCCAGGAACAAAATTAATCTCTTTCGCTTTTGGTTTTAGAGTTGAGAGAACTTCTTATGAATGGAATAGAAGTTATTTAAAATTGTGCTTATCACCTTCCAGCAGAGCAGATTCAGATAATATTTATTCCGTATAGATCAACATATGTACAGAAATAATCTTTGGAATATGTCACTAATTAGACTAATTAGAAATTATTGAAAGCATTTTTGGTCGACTCGAAATGGAAATAGCAGCAGCAATTAGTAAACATGCACCATAGAGAATAATGGTAGAAACCTCCGGGCTGGTATGCAATTTGAGCTTTTAATTGCGACTAATGAGCCGAGTTTCAAGTGTCGAGGCGCCTTCGACGCGGAATGCAATCGCGACTGATCCGCTTTCGGACCGTGACACTCTTTGAATCCGATTTCCGACCGGCGTCAAAAATACTTATTTAGGCGATTTCCGGCGAGTAAAGGAAACAAATCGATTGGTATTCAGCACGCGAAACTCGTGAAGCAACAAATACTTATAAATAATTAAACTAAATCTGCATAAAGCAACGCGCAGTTTTATTGATTAATTGTAATTAATGATTGTCACGTTCCCCAGCCTTCGATGGAAACGTTTCGCAAAATATGGGCGGAAGGGATCTGACGAAAAGCTCAAAATGCACCAGTTTGGCAATGTATTGTTACAAAGTGGATTTTGTTCTTTACACCGCACTGTTATCACAAGCTTTTGTAACGCTTCCCATCGCGATATAATATATAATATATAAAAAGGTCTATATTTGACATCTTTTTTCTGCGCAGCAAAGGAGGAAATTGGGCTAAGTTAAAATCGTGTGCAGATGAATTGCGACTGTATTGAAGAATTTTCCGTGCTTTACATTTTGTCATGTTAACGCTATACTTGCGCATTGAAGCGAAAAATGAATAGTGTTTAAACAAATTGTTATTATTTCAGAACGTCGGTGTTGTTCGTGTCGATTTCTTTCATCGTGCTGATGATCATCTCCCTGACCTGGTTGGTCTTTTATTACGTGCAACGCTTCAGGTACATCCACGCCAAGGACCGTCTTGCGGTGAGTCATGCAAAACCACTTCTTCTTCCTTCAATAACGATAAAAAATGAAAAGGAGTTAGGTGTGCACGCTCTTGAACTGGCTGAAAAGTCGATTTTATTATTTGCAATCGGTTCTCGTGAGAAAATTGACTCAGACACGTACATTCACATGTGAATTATTTACATTATTGCATAGTTCAGCCTGAAAAAAGAGGAATTCAACTTTGGAAAGTTTGAAATAATCCTCTACAAATGAAATTTATTTTTAAATTTATATTTTAATTTGATTCTTACAAGATTGGAGCATACTTATTTGTATTAAATTATCAAAACAATTTCTGAATACTTTATAATCTTAAATCCGCTAAAATCTTTTGATTAATCTCAAAATAATTTATTTAACATAAAGATTCTTAGTTGATGTTTGTAATTTTATTTGAAGAATACATCATTTCGCCAAATTTTCAATTTAATGATTAATTTTTTTTGCTTCCTTGTTACAGCGTCGACTGTGCAGCGCAGCTAAAAAGGCGTTATCAAAGATCCCTACAAAGAACATTCACTCTGAAGACAAGGTACATTTTTTTTTAAATTTTCTCTGTGACTAACTCGATTGTTTTTGCGTAGGAAATGCAGGGTGAAGGCGAGTGCTGTGCCATTTGCATCGAACCCTACAAAGTGTCCGATGTCATCCGAATTCTGCCTTGCAGGTAATGAGATTTTGAAGATCAATTAATTGGGCAACCGGCGACGCACGCACGCCTCGCCGGTTGCATAAGCGCGTCTTTTTTCTCTCCAATCGAATAAATGTATTTTTGTCCCAAAACGGAAAAAGAGGAGGAAATTCATCCGTGCGGGCGCTAAATGAAATTTCCGCAATTCGGGTAGTAATGATTTTCCGTCAAGGCTGCTGCGCTTAATATCGACAGACGGTTTTGGTTGTTGTCGTCGTCGAGGCGAAACAACACTCGGTACGTGTCCGCATCGGCGTATTGATTCGCAAAGGCGCAGCGGTGTTTTGCGTCCACTTGAACTAGTCAGCAATCAGTGATACCAAATAAGATGCAAATTTTAATTGCTATTCATAAATGATAAACAAAATACAAAACCTCTTGAAACAATTAATTGAATGTAAAACAATGTGATATATCAATTTGGACAAATAAACAACAATAATAACTGTATTTTAGATTAATTTTGATTGATTTTGGTTGAATATTAATATTTTTGTTTATTAATTGTCAATCAAATGGTTTCAAAATATTCAATAGATTAAAAAAGGCTTCAATTTTTTGGAGGTAAATATTAAATTATTATAAAAAAGGAACTTTTGTTTGAAGAAGTTGACACTCGAGGAGATGATCAAGGAAATGATCATCGATTCATTTCCAAAAAAGGAACTGGCAAGAATTTTGCTCAAGCTTCCAAGAAAAAGAAGACTCCCAATGAGCCTCAGTAAATAAAAAGAAGAAAAAAAATTATTAAAATAAAATTTTGATTTGCAAATGTATAAATCCATCTTATATAAATTTTTTTATATTTCTAACAATAGATGACAAATGATTTTAAATTCTTAAAAAATTCTTGGATTAAATCTGAAAATTTATAATTAAAGTAATTAAATACGTAACTTAATTTGATTTCAATTTTGTGAATTTAGTCTTTCAAGTCTTCGTCAGAAAGCTGCGTTACAAACTCGTTGACTTCATTCCCGAGAAAGCAGTTTGCCCAAGAATAGACCCTTTATTTACATTTGCTCCGCTTTACGCATTCCTCGGTGTGAACATGCAATTGCCGCGGCTTCTCCCTTGCGTAACGCGCGCAAAACATCACAAATTAGATTGGCAAAAGGGCTTGGGACAATCAAATTACCTCAATTACCGGTCGCTGGCTTTATCTTCATTTTTCCCTTTTTTTAATGCACTTTGCAGACAAGGTCAGTCCCTGATGAAATTATTATTATAAGTTCACGAACGCGCGAGAGCGGGACAAATTTGTGCGGATTCGCACTGTTTGGAGCGGGAGCGAGCGGTGAAGAGCAGCCACTTGTGCAGCTTCCAAAAACTGACGCGTTGATAAGAAGCTGAAGAGATCTGAATTTGCCTCTCTTGTTTTCACAGACACGAGTTCCACAAACCGTGCATCGACCCGTGGTTACTCGAGCACCGCACATGCCCCATGTGCAAGATGGACATCCTTAAATTTTACGGTTATAATGTAAGTTTGAAATGAATTCGGTAACAAAATGCACTGAAATTGGAGAAAGTTTACAATATAATATTCAAAATTCAAATTCAATCAATTCCCTTCAGATTATTCCTCCTTTCATGAATGTCACATAATATTATATGATTATTTATTCTTCTTGGTCATTCTTGGTCAATGCGAAAAATAATATTTTATTTTCTTTATAAAATTTAAAATAATTCCTAATTCATTTATTTAGAATATTTTTTATTATTTTGAATTTTTAAATATTTAAAGAGGATGAAAACACCTTAGGGCAGCACAATCATCCACAAAAACTAATAGTTTGGACCATAGGGATCATTTATATAACAAGAACATTGGAGGTCACCCCATAAATTTTTGAGAAAAACGCATTTGAAATTAACATGGCTCGCTTATGTAAAATTTTCACTAAAATCGTTTGATTGCATTTTAAGTCAACAAAACTGCCTTTGGCAAGGGTTTGTGACCCACCAGCATGTTCCTTGACAACCCTGCTACAAATGTGGCACCAGAAAATTGGGGGTCACCGCGTAAATTTTTGAAAAAAGTTAAATTGAAGGTTGAAAAACGTCGTTTTTTGCATTTTTCACGTTTCGGAGACAATTAAGCAAATTTTTGAACCCTTTGATTTAATTGATTTCTACAGTAAAATATCATGATAGTTAATATTTTGGTTTCTACAATACCCTAATAATGAAAAAAATTCATATTTTTGAAAATCCAATATGGCCGTCTGAGATACACAAGGGTTCACTAAAACTGATGCCAAATTAATTAGGGTGCAGATTTTTTAATTTTCTCGGTGGGAGGTTGGAGCTAATGAACCAGTGTATCTTTTCTCAATGGTTACCAAGTTTCTAGGTCAAAGGTCATTGGCCCTGGCCAAAGGTCAAAATCTTAAGTTTTTTGCCCCTTTGAGATAGGCAACCTGACTAAAAATCCGAGATAGCCAAAAGATGCGGCATGTCATTTTGCGTCAGAGTGTAAATTTTCAGAATTTTTGGATAAGCAGTTTTGAATATATTAATGATTTTTAAATAGCGTCCGAACGACTGAAAATGATCTCTTCGGACGAGTTAAAAATTAGAAAATGAGGTTTTTTTCATCATATTCAACACAAATTAAGTAGGTTTTTTTGTATTAAATGTAAATTTGAAGGATTTGAAAAATATTTGCTAGGTGTTTTCATCTACTTTAAAAATTAAACCTAAAAAAAAATTTCTTAAAACTTAATTTTTGTGTATTGACTTGATGTAAGATTTTGTGTATTTCATGTATCTGAATGGAGAATAAATAAATAAACTTATTTTTTGAATACATAATGTTTGGTTCAAATTTTGATTTCATAAAATTCATTTATTTTTTACAGTTTACGGGCAGTCAAGAGAGTATTCTGCAGATCGAGGTGGATGAGCCATCGCGCGTTTTGACACCTGAGCCTGAAGGGGTGACGCGACAGCCGCGGGGCAGCGTCGGCACAGTGACCATCGACCCGCAGGTAGCGCTGCACCACCTCGCTTAAACCCATTCGCACTTTGTCACCACGCGCAACTGCACTCTCTCAATTGCTAAGCAAAAACTGTCTCTGCTGAATAAATTTATAACTAGTGCTGTGTGTAGAACGTCTAGGTGCGCTCGTGTCGCAACTATGTAAATAAAAAAGATTTAATTTTTAATTAATCTAAAACTTGAACGCCGGTAAAAAAACGGGGAGACTCTCAGTCAGCCGATGATGTATTTTACGTTTGTACAAAAGACTGTTTTGCGCTGCTTTTTTGTTATTTTTGACCTACGTGTAAGGACGCATAAAAGCTTGAATTTTTTTTTAAGATTTCATTTTTTACCAACAATTTATATAAAGGTGTAAAAACTAAGTGATAGGAAAAATTCAAGTTTTGTAAAAGCTGATTTCATCTCTGTTTGATAGTGGAGCAGTCATTAATCTGTAGAGATTTGTGTACTTCCCCTAACTGTAGTGCCATATAATTTGCAATATCGCTTTTCATCTCATCTTGCGACTCAATTTTTTCATGACTTTTGAGTGGAATAAACAACAACTAATATCACACATCTAATTTTGATCTGCGATTTTTAAAATTCTGACAATTAAAAGTGTGGCTTTTGGCGCAAAATTAATTCCTGAAACCTTTAATTAATTTAATATTGCACACAAAAAACGGGCACTCCCAATTCGCACCCCTTCCTCTTGTAAAAACTTCTTTGATGTGATTTAGCTCGTAAGAAAATGTAAGAAATAATAAAATGGAAAAATCATTCTAGATAAAGAAAAATTTCACATTTGTCTGTAAATTTGTAACGCTTCTTTTGTTATTCATCCATCTGCACGCTTCGTTTTGTTTATTTCGCACTCATGGTGAGTTGTTTTAACAATAAAAATTTAATTTCAAAAGTGAGTTTTTACCAAACATTGGCTAATATTTTGGAAAAATTTCAGTCTTTGGTGTGCATCAACCGAGCTGAGGCGGCTGTGAACCAGGAAGCCGCTGCTGCAGCTGCTGCTGAGCAGCAGCAGATGGAACAGGAGGGAACGACCAGTGGCGTCGAAAACCCAACCAGCAGCAACTTAGCCGTGCCGCCAATCAATCAGGCCCCCGAACCCGTTAAGGGTGAGTGGAAGCTACCAATTGGAAGTAATAATAATTTTAAATAAAAACTAGAAAATTTCAGTTTAATTATATCCTTAAATATCTATCAAATTTTCTATTTTCTTCATATAAAAATATTTTAATTGATTTATTCAATTTTTCAAATGTTCTTTTATGACATTAAATTTCAAATTTAATTATTATTATTTATTCTACTCAAGTCATTAAGTTGTTAAGCTGGTAAAGCCTTTCGATTTCAACAAAATCACTACTTTGAGTCCAAATTTATTCAAAATGATTTTCTTGACCACGACTTGATTTATGAAGAATAAACAATAATAAAAATAATAAGAAACTTTCGGTTTTGGAAAATTTTAAGTTTTTTTGTAACAATTGTTTAAATAGTTTTTATCAAATTTTAAAAAACTTATTAATATAAAATTAAAATAACATAATAAATAAATTGAATGGTAACACTAATGGTGGATTTCATGAAGAATTGAAACCGGGCAAACCTCGTTGCAAAGAAAAATGAAAAACTAAGAGGATTTTTTTTTCATTTTTCTTTGCAACGAGTTTCGCTTGGTTTCAATTTTACATAATTAATAGTTTTGGTTTTAATAATTTTCTAGCATTTCCTCTGACCTCATTTATTTAGGCTTTAAAAATTTCAGGCGAGTCAAGCAAGTGCAGTATTAAAATAGAAGAGGATGACCAAGTGAGTGGCAACAAGGTGATTCACGTTGAGGAAACTTTGGTGGTGCCATTCACCAGCAAAGCTGCTGTGCAAGCTGTCAGCAAAAAGGATAAGGATCCTCCCTCGGAGCCGTGAGAGCCCCCACATTCCACCCTCTAACCAGCGGAAGACAAGCTCATGTATTGGTGAATGAAGGAGATGACTAATTGCCAACTTCAAACGCCATTTTCAAAAAATTTTATTTACTAGGATTAGATTTTGCTTTGAGAGCTTTCGAGTGCTGCAGGTCTCGGTAGTTTTGATTTCGCGCTTGCCCGCTGCCAAGACTGAAAAAGCAACCAATCAATTCGTGGAAGTGAGAATTTCATTTGTTTTGTGCTCTGCTGACAGACTTATTATTTTAACAAGTGATAATTATTGTTATTATTTCCCTCGTCGCCAATAGCTGAGAAAGTGAGCGATACGAACAATGTTTATTTTTTGCATAAACTCTCAATTTTCAACTCAATTATCCAAAAATGATGATGAAATGTGAAAAGAAATTTTTTAATCCTTATGGGTTTATTTATAGGAATAAAAAAACGGTGTGAAGCTGTGAGATTTCATTGATCATCACTCTCTCCAGCTTATACTTGAGGATTTTTATCAATTTTCTATCTAAGTTTAAACAGTTTTTAACTTCTTGCAATTTCCAATATGTATTATATATAATTCAAAATCTTGGCGACTTATTAACTTGATTAATTTCAATCTGATTGATGCTGGGTTTAATCAAGGGGGTATTTGAATTTATTAACTATTATTGACGACGTTAAGCTATTTTTAAGTGGCGAAAGTGTGAATGGTCTTCTATATATATTTACGAAGAAAAAAAAAGCAGGAAAAATGTGTGTTGTAAAAGGATTGAAATGAAATGAAGACTAGTCAGCAACGTGAAATAAGAAGTTAACAATGATTTAAAGGCATCAAAAAGTAAAACTCCTCTTTGACTTTAATCTAAAATGAAAAAGATAATGAATTGTGGTTAAAAATATTTGTAGATGCAACATACACAACAATAAAATAAAATAAATGCAAAATTATTGAATAAAAAAACTTTTCTAATTTACATGTTCATTCCCGAATAAACTTTAGAGAAGCAGTCAATCTAAAATAATTTTTCAGAACGAAAACGTGCTTTATTTATTTTTTAAAACTCTGTGCACAATTTTCTTTAATAGCCATAATTGTTAAAAAATTATGCTTAATAAATCATCTCCAAATTCTGTTTCAACAGTCAGGTTATTCTGAACATTAATTTAGGCCTGGTTAAATTTAAACACAATTTCTTTGTGTATTTAATATAAACAATAAAAATAAAATGTTTGGTTAAAAATTTCTTGTCCCAAATTCTGATTTTGAAATTTCTGCTAGGCAAACTGTCCACATTTATGTTGTTCTACATCAAAAATCTTTCGCCTCTCACTTAGAACTAATTAATCTTCATGCCAATTTTTCAGAAAAATGAAATTCATTTTGAATTTTACTTAATTTGAAATTGGAATTAATATTGTTTATAAAACCAGTGAGACTTAATCTAACTGCACAAAGCCCTGAAATAAGAATCTCACAAATATTTAATCACCTCCCAGAGAGAATAGAAGCAATTGATGATGTAAAGTTGTTCACAAAAGCTGCTGAGAAAATTTTTTATGACAATATGTTTTATGACATGCACGAGTTTTTGTTGTGTAAACTAAAATAATATTATATGTTAAGGTATCGACTTATTCTAAAGATCGCTGTAAATATTTTGATCTAATGCAGAATAAATATGTCTTGACTTGACTTGATTCTTTTTTGTTTTCAATTATTTCATTGTCTTGTAGAGATCCAGAAAATTATTATTATTATTATTTATTCTCCTCAGTCGATACAAAAAATTTTTGATTTGAAAAAGAGAAGAAAGGGTTTACAACTAGCAGATGTTTGCTAAAACGCCCGACATCAAAAGAGACTCGGCCGCCGCGGTAAACCACCACTATCTTTCAAAAAACTTTTCTAAAAAAAAAAAAAAAAAAAAAAAAAAAAAAAAAAAAAAAGTACATTTAAAATAGTTTAAAAAATTGTCTCTCACAATCAGCGTAGAAAATTTTGTCCACACCTTCGCTTATGAAGAGTGACCGCAGGCAGCAATTAGCCAACCAAGATCAATGGCAGCCTCTCTTAAAGCCACTATTTGTTTCTTAATGAAGAGGCGTGTGCGCAACTCCCGCTAATGCGGGTATATTTGGACGCGAGAAGTGTGACGTTGAGCGAGCGAGCGCGGCCCAAAGGGTGTCCCTCGCGAGCGTCAGTCGGCGCTCTCGAGCTCTGCCTGCAGCACGCGTTGCAACCTTTGCTGAGACACCTTGCGCAAAGAAAGTAAGTCAATAAATAAGGAAATACTTGCGATCGCGGTAGTGGTCGATAATACGACCGGTTGAGAATTGAATCAAGCTATTATGCACTAAGCTGACCCTTCAAGGTCAGCTCAAGGGGGCTCGGCTTTTATTAGTTTCAAATTTTATAATAATTTAAATTGTCCAAGGGTTTTGATGCACCCCGGAGGCGTTGAGAGTGAGGAATTTGTTCTCCAAGGCTCGCAAATTACTGGATAACCCTTTCAAACTGGTCGTAAAATTACATGGAAAACCAAACAATCACGCGACACCGCCTTGTTTCCAAGAACAATCAATTACAAAAAATGGGAACGTTCTTCATAATCTTTAAGCTTTTAATATATCCTTTTAATCAATCTTATTGCCCTGTGTAAAAGGAAATGATTGTATGAAACCGTCGACAAATAATAATTCTAATAAAGTAAAACCTCTAACACTGTGATAAAAAAAATTAATTAATAGCCATTTTTAAAAACTATTTATTTTTGGAATTTTTTTTATAATTTTAATTATAGAGGAAAGTTCAATTGTTCTAACCGCAGAGATGATCTATGTGCATCGTCGGAGCACGGTTGAAAGTGATTTTAATCTCTTTCCGTAATATTTGCGCGGCTTTCTCCGCGGATTTTGCGACAACTGGAGCGAAATGAGACAATACTGTTTTTATACGCGCCGGGCTCTGATTCATCACGCGGGGACACAGATTGAAGCAGCTCTCGAAGCGCTTTTGGCAGAATCTCAGCCAGTCAGGTGATGGCCAAAACTGAACGGCGGCCAAAATTAGATCCTGCTCGCTCTCCGCGGCCCCCATCTTTCGGCAATTATTTCTCTCTCGCCGCCAGATGCAAACGCAATTTGCAGAATAATTTTTTGCTGCTCCAGTGCGCAATTGATTCCCTTGAGACGAGCCCTTAGAAAGGCGCGAGAGAACAAATAAACATTGGTTTGACGTAAGGAGCAAATTTACTGTTTCTCCAAACTACTGCGCCACTCACAGTAAAAAGCAATTCAATTCAATTCAATTCAATTTTATTGTTGTTCTGTTAGACAAGAATATTAACAGTAGTCTTTAGAACATGTCAGGTCTAAAATTAAAATTTAGAGAAAAAAAAACCCGTTTAGCAGATAGCTTTTCATCATCCGACACTGACGTCTGATATATACCTGCACTGCTAAACGTCATGCAGGAAAAAGCGCCAAATAATCCAAGATGACCATATTTTTTACACTCATTTTCATTGGACATCCTGTTCATTGCAGACATGCTCTCTCTGGTCCTGACATGTCTTAGCCTGTTGAGGGCGGCCCACGGCGGCCACTTGCAACAGGAGGCGGCCGAGGGGGCGACGGTCACGCTACCCTGCTTCAACACGACTGACGGCCAGCACCAGTTTCAGTTCTGGATGCTTAAAGATGACTCGGTCATCGGCCCCGAAAACCCACCCAGCCCTGGAAGCAAGTTCAAGTTTGAGGTCCTTTCGGGGAACCTCTCTATCAAGGTACATGAGCAAAAACTGGCAAAAAGTAATAACATTAAATTTGAACATTTTAACTTTCATCTTGGTTCAACTTTTATATAATTTTTGGTGAAAACAAAAAGAAAGAAAGAAAATATGATTGAATATATTTCTATATTTTTTTAACAAGCATTATCAGAGAATATTTTTAATATAACCCAGTCAAACAGTTTTTTTTTTCTAATTTTTTCTTCATCTATAATCTATAATTCCTTTTTGATTACCCAAGCCTGATGACTTTTCAACTTCAACTGTTTTAATTTTATAGTTTTCTTTTTTTTTTTAATAAATTTTTGTGTCAGTTAAGTCAAACAGATACCAATTTTAACCCAAATAGAATAAAAATAAAGAGAATTTACTTGTGATCATTTTGCAATTACAGGCTCTGAGCGCAGAGGACTCAGGTTTATACCGATGTGTGGCGAAGGGATGGAACAACCCTACATTTCACATTGAGGACGTTGATCTCATTGTGCGAAAAGACTGGGAAGAAGTCTGGGCCAACGACACAGGGGTTTGTTTAAATCTGATTCCCCAGGCCTGAACAATTACTATGTCTTTTACAACTGGTGCAGTAAATTCAGTAGTTTTTTTAAGCTATTTTTTTATTATTATTTCAAACAAATTTCAAGCAGGTTTGTTTTTTTCTTATGAGTTTTAAAATTAAAATATCTTCTATCAGATTATATTATATTCTTCTATGCAAATAAATATTTATGAACGCGCAGGAGAAAATTGGTAAATAATGCATAAATAATTTATATTATTACAAAAGACATTTTGCAAATCATATTTATGATAACTACCTTAAAAATTTCAATAATTATTAATTCAATTTTTTTTTCTGACGCAGGTGAATATTCTGCGGGGCGTTTTAGCGTTGACGGTGATCTGCGTGTTCTGCGGCGTGGCGTGCGTTTTGCTCCGCCTGCGTCGCTCCAGCTACCTCAAGAGTGAAGGTAGTCAGTTGTTGTGCAGACCCATTTACAAAAATACAGACCGCATTGTCACTGTAGATCTGTCCGACGAGGACGAAGAGAGCCCCTTCCAGAGCACCTCCGAGCCTGGCCAGCAGCACCGCCGCCTCAGCAGCAGCAACGTCGAGATCAACGTCCTCGAGACCGAACTGCCTCGCACCCTTAACTCCATGTACAGAGCAAACTAACACGCACCAGACACCAGAAGACAAGTTGTGCAGAATTTGTGCCAGCACAGATTTTGAACGTGTTTTAATCGTAAAGACGGAGGTGAAGGACATTCCTCTTGAGACTTTCTACATTTAAGTGTTTTTGAAATTAATGTGGGTAGTGCTAATTCAGAAAGTGATGAATGGACGAGTTGATTTGCATACCTGACAGTGAGTTTCGTAGCTTGTAAAATCACTTAATGCAGAAATATTGTGTAAAAATTTACATAATTATGAAACCTCTTTGACAAAAATATAAATTAAATTATAAAATCATTGTTTGTGATTTCCTTACTGTCGTGATGTCATCTTACTATACTTTTCATGAAGTGTTTAGTAAGTATTGACCGAAATTATTAGCATTTTACGGTTCAGGTTTAAATTTTTATGTATGCAAAAATGGTACTCACCATGCGTCTTCGTTTGGCGACACCAGCTGTACTTGGACCTCCTTCTGTAGTACCTAAAAATTAATCAGAAACCGTGAATGAAAGTCGCAGAATTACATAATTCCGCATAATTCTTTCAATTCGCAAACGAATTTCGGACACATCATAATATTTTTATTTTATCGAATCCATCGAACTCACCTGACCCATTGGTTGCCGAATCCCTGACCGTCGTCTTCAATGCTGGGTTCATCCCAAAATCTAAGTTTCATCATGTTTGCTTTTGTAAACAAAATACTGTTCACAAGAATTTCGCACACTTTGCACACACAATCTCCCGCGCACTCCCGCGTAAACTGATGCGGAAAAATCTCTCGGATTCACAATCATACAAATCCCGATAAAAACTAGAATATCAATAAGATTCGTGTTAAGCAATTTGTATGCAACGTAATGACGACAAAAACAATTGCACTCTACAAGACGAAGTCTGGTCTGCGTCTGGATACTTTGGATTCGGGGGCTGTAATGGAGAACTGGGAGTCGGGGAGAAGAGAAAATCAACGTAAAGTTGAACAAGAGAAGGGGAAGTATAAATTGAAAATTTTGCTCGTTTCCCGCCACCACCACTTTAATTCTCAAACAGCGCCACCGCCAACACCGCTGGCAATCAATGTAAACACACAATTTTGCAAACAAAAACTTCTTGTCATCCTGCAGGTATGATCATTTTTCAGTTTTTAGGCTAATTTTCAGAAGCTTGCTCATTGCTGCGCAACTTATCCATGTTTTTTAAAAAATTATCTAAATAACCATGTATAATTCACTCGCTCATTATAATGCTTAGGAACGGAGAAATTGAAAATAAAATGAAGTCGACCGGCACCTATGAAGTTCCCTCAGTCATGGCCTACGGGTATTTTTTTTCGTTCTTTCATATTTCTTAAATTACAACAAAAAATGATTAGATTACTTCAATGTAAATGGAATAGCCTTCAGCTTATTTTTACAAATTATCTCATTTCAGCCTTCCGTCTACGGCAAACAAATTGTCCCAGGCTCACCCTTTGGAGACCTCGGAAAGAAACGTAAAATCCACCATTGAATTTAAATTGTTTGTATTTTAATTGAACCATTCCTTAGTTCTCAGCTAACCAAGAAAAGGCTGAGATGAGGGTGCTGAGAGCGACACAAGGCATGCATGCACCTCTTCGAATCCAGATGGAGAAAAAAGCAGCTTCCTTGGCTGGAGGTCGTTTGCCCTTTATGACCAGTGAGCGCCTTGCGCTGCAGGTCCTGAATGGAACAGACACCAGCATTGCCTTCCAGGACGTCCTCAACATGCCTGAAAACAGGGAAAGGTCCGGCGTGCCCAGTGCCGAGATGGAAAGGAGTCTTGGAATGCTTTAATTCTGCTATGTCGTTGATACAAAACCCAATTTTTAATTTAAGGCGTTCTGATATGAAATAAATTAATTATTCATTTGCTTAGTTCACTGTTTTATTCAAGACTATGCCGTACAATTAGGTGCATCAATTGTCTTGATAGATGGCTAAAATATTAATGAAAAAAGTGAAAAAGAGTAGTTTAATATAATGAATAATAGGAACCAAAACATCGCAAAATATTTTACTTTGATACACTATATTTTACAGAATTTTACATTTCAAATAGTTTGATTCAAGGGAATGGAAAAAGCTTAATAATACTTTGCGTTTCAAAAGAAGACTATAAATTATTGTCCAATAATATACTTATAATAAAAGTTGTCAGTTAAATGGACAAGATTGCCTATGGAAAGCCATAGCGACAATTTTGTACTGTGTTATAAAGCCAAGCTAAAAGTGTCACACTGTTTTCATAAAATATCTCTACAAATATTTTTTTCTATTCTTCATATTACTGGATGAAGCATCCACTCTCGTTCTTTGGGTCAACTCCAGACTGGTGCACACTGGCCTCCTTGACTTCTGGAAGTTCACCTTCAGACTTTCCTTTCTGCCAATTTAAAAACATTTAATTTATTAATAATTATGCTTGTGCTTTATATTGCCAATTTTGGATCCCTAGCCGAAGCCATCGCTGTGTCGAAAGCTGCGTATGAGGCAGGATTCCAAAGTGGACTAGGTGCAGGCATAGTGACTGGCTCTGGCTTCGCAAGACCATAAGTTGCTTTCATCTCAAGCTGGGGAGGGTCGTACGGCACTTTCTGGTGATAACTACAAAATAAACAAATATTATTTACATTAGTCTTTTTTTTAACATTCCAACTTGCATAAATCCATTTTCTCGTTCACATTTTTCCAGAGCTCTTTGAATCATCGGAAGTAGCTTTCTAAAGAACAGATGCTGCTCGGGTTTAGCAATTTTGGCAGGGCCTTTCATTTTGGAATACTCTTTAGAAAGGGTCAATGCTTTGTCATAATCTGAAAAGCACATCAATTTTTTATAAATAAATGTGGAAGAATAGAAATAAATACATTTTTTGCTTTCTTGGCAAGCCCTAACTGCATCACCGCCTTTTTCCAAAGTCAAGCAATTTTCCCCGCAGTACATGTATGCCTTTGGAAATAAATATGTAAATACTTCATACTGAATGTAAGTTAATAATTTAATTAGCTTACATAAGCTGTGTAGAACGCTGCCTTAATTTGCATGTAGGTCTTCCACTGACCAACAACTTTTGGGTTAAGAGTATTCAGCAGGTTGTCTGCCTCAAGGAACAATTTTGCTGTCTCATTGGACAAGGCAGAAATGAGAGCCGCATTGTGTTTTAATTCCATTGCTCTAGCCACGGTCACTGGAAATATCCAGTTAATTTATTTATTTCTTTCCAAAATCAATTTGCTCTACCTTCTTGTGCCTCGGCAGTGCACTGTGCCAAATACGCTCCTGCAACCCTTGGGTCGGTGTCCATTCCGGGCTCCCCGTGGCTCACAAGGTCAGGAATCAGCTCTTGGGTAACAAATTGGAAGGCACCAGCCGCTTTCCGCATACTCGTGTGCACTTCCTTGGCTTCGTCCATTGTGATGCTAAAATTGCGAAACATTGATGATGCTTACTTTAATAACAAGGAATGGCTGCAAAAATGTACTTACTCATCTTTTCCTGCAATCATTGAGGCATGTTTCATATACCAGATTCCAATGTTCATCGTTATGTTAGCCACTTCATACAAAAAGTCTTGCTCCGCACTGTGTTACATACAAAAAATAAATGAGTAAATCTTAGAAAAATCATACAAAATAATTTTTTCCAAGACAGATTTCAAATTCATACTAAGGTTTGCTGCCCAGAAGGGTGTGGGTCCACTTAAAGATAATGCTGTGACGCATTTTGCTGGCCCTGCTGTCGCCATCAAAAGATTTAAGGAATCCCTGCGCAAGGCTCAGGTAGCTGTTGAAGATTGAATCAATCGTCTCGCCTGAGTGATTTGCGTCGGGGATCAATTCAAGCAGCCGTTTTCGACACTGCTTCAAATCACTGAAAGGCAAAAATAAATCATAATTTTAAAATTGCTGAAGCTCAGGAAGCAAAAAGCGTGGACAAACCCGCAGATTTTCAGCGCCTCCGTGTCGAGGGCGACCATTTTCAAATCAAAATTCTCCACGGTTGTCGCTTTAAAAAGGTTCCTGTGAAACCAGTGGGCCATTTTTTTTTTATCTGGTTGGGTTACATTTCCTGCTGCAAAATCAGTCGTCAGCCGTCAGCCCTGTCCTTCCCTTCGTCACCAGCTGAAGGTTTGTGTAGTATGTACGTACATAGTTACATACTATTATTTACCTTTTTGCAAGTGTTAGCCAACATTACAAAGTTTCAAAACTAAAATGATTTTATTAATATAGCCTTAAGAATTACTAAATAAAAGATGATTTAATTTTAATACGTTTAAGTATTTTAAATATTTAAATTTATAACCATGATCGATTTAAAAGTTTTTTAAAAGGGAGATTAAAAATTCTGAAATGAGCTGGCACCATGCATATATTTTCAATTTCAACATCGCCACTCGACACGCCCACGTAGTGCACGCGCACGCGTCATGTTATGTTGCTGGCGCAAACACCAAAAAGTAGTGGCAGCTCTTAAAAAACTTTAGGATTCCTTACTGACATAGTCAAATCAAGTCTTTAAAATTTCTAATTGTTTTCCAAATATTGATGAAATAGCTCCCATGTACTGATTTGACTAAATCAATATAAGGGAATAAGAACGCCTTAATCGTTTATTTTGTTCATGAATCTTGATTGTACAAATAAGTGAATATAAGGATGAAAATTAATACAACAAAAAACAAAATGAAGAACATGAAGTGAAAAATCTTTATTACATTAGAAAACTTTAAATTTAAAAAAAAAATTACATTTGAATGTCATTATCATATCAATGTAAAAATCACATCACAAGTCATAATATATTATATTGTATTGTGAGATAATATACATTTTGAATCATAGGCCCTTTAATCATTAAAGCACAGTTTAATAAAAAATTCTTCAAATAATCTATGAAATAGACAGGTGTCATGATTAATGGCACATAAAAATGTGCACATTCCATATATAATGCAAATAATTTCAGTAAATTTCATTCTCAAAAATATACATAATATATATGATTTCATATTCCAGCAAATAAATCGCTGTATATAATTTTAGACAATATCATCATTAAAAATTTAATGATTTTAAAATACTGATCATAGACATAATCTAAATATCCAATAAATTACTACATAATTATGCAGCTATATTGCTGATGATGAGATTTTGTGTATGAGATTTGTGCACGTAGCATATGCGTATTTTTGGATAACATGGTGTCTAAAATAAATCAGTCTATTGGCTTTTGTCATCCACTCTATTTTCCTCAGTGCTGGCAGATTGCTTGACCTCAAGCAGGTTCTCACCCTGCTGACGCTTTTCTTCCTCTTCTTGCTGCCTCCTCCTCCTGCGTTTGAAGAGGGCATACAGGTCAGGATGCAAACCTCGCACAGTGACCATAATTCCAAGTACGTTTTTCATCATGAAGAGAGACGTGTGCTGCCGATGGCCAATCCAGAGGTACGAACGAATTCCCAAGAAGGGAAGATCGACCAGCAGAAAGTGCGTGATGTCATGCAAAACGCTGAACGGAAGCACCAACGACTGCTGCGCCTTGGCAGCCGAAGGTTCAGAGAGACCCAGGCGGTACAGAGCCATAGCTGGGAGTAAAAGGTTGAAAAGGCAGAGAGCCAGAATCAGGTCCATTAAGAGCTCAGGGGGCTCCGTAGCTCGGTTGGCATCTTGAGGTAATAGAACAGAGAGGAGAGAAACTGTGTCCAGCACAGCCAGTCCAGAGTGGGCACAGGTCGAGGTCACAAACTGGTAACGGGGTGAGCGGTGACGAGCCCAGTTATGGCTCTCGGCCAAGAGGAGAAAAACTACCGCTCCCAAAGCAATTGTCACCTAAAATATTAAAATCAAATTGAGAACTTTTTATCATACAACTAAAATAAAATAAAGGTTCAATACACAGTCAAAAAAAGCTCCATGCCGCGGCCTGAAATCTCTATGCCGTCCTTATGCCAGTCCATCAGTGGTCATGCCGCGGCATAGCTCGATCATGCCGCTTAAAAAGTCCTCATACCACGGCATGAAGTCGGTTCGGCATGGCATGGAGCATTACCATGCCGTCCATGCCTTACTAAATTTTATCATGCCGGCATAGCTTTTCCTTCACAGGGCATGCAAGCCGCTTGCAAGTCCACGAAACACTTAATTTTTTTTATCCAAAACCTGCCGAAAACATTTAATTTTATTTCATTCAAAGTTGTTTTAATTTGACTAAATGAAAGTAAAAATAGAAGAAAAATTTTAAAAATCTTAATAATTAACTTTTATTATGCGTGTATTATTAACATTAAAATTTTACTTAGCAAAAACTAAGAAAGGTATGTTGACTAAATTTTTACGTAGAAAAATACTTGAAGTTGCAGTGATGGATATTAGTTTAAATTTGATTTGATATTTTACTCTTATTTTACAATTTTGTGCGACGACTGGATCTAAAATTTTATTTTATCAGACGTAAAATTAACAATATTATTTTAAATTTTCCTAATTGAAAATATCAATTATGTTTGAAATTAAACATGTTTAAGCTACTTTGCAAATTATTACACATCATACCAAGGCTCTAATTTGTGTATTACAGATCTAAAATAATATGGCTTTCATATATTGAAATTATTTTTAAGGAGGCGCGTATTACAAATTATTATTGTGAAAATTTTCATTGAATCTGGGCATATTACATAAGATTTAGTATTTTTGTTACGATTCCAACTCATTTGAGCGTATATGAAAATATGAAGTAATTAGAAATACTCAAATCATGATTCTGCCCTGACTGGTGGCTTTACCTGAAGGTGCTTCCCGCGCATACTGGTTCAAATTTCACCCTCGCACAACATCGGCGCTCTTCGCGACCTTTGCGCCAGCGCCCTGAGCGCCCAACGAACTTTCCGAGCACATTTTTTACCTGAGCTCATATGGAGTGTTATGGCCGCGGCAGGTGTTAATTTTATTCATTTGTGCGTCGAAATAAGCGCGTAAGGACATGTTAAGACAAAGTGCGACACGCAGGAATATTTCCTTAAGGCCTCCTTATTGACATCTACAACTTCTGTTTGCGGAAAATCGGCCCGAAATTTTTGGACCCAGATTTTTTTATAGATTCCTGCCCACCAGTGGAGTTGATTGCACAAAGAAAAATAGGGGGTCGCGTGGATTAATCTTGAAATATGATTTTTTGAAATTTAGCATGGCGTTTTATGGAGATTTTTGTTTTTGGCGATTAAAAAAAATCTGCCCGAAATTTTTTGCTCAAAATTGCACAAAATGATAATTGAATGACCCTTAACAGATAAGCAGCAAAAAAATTGGGGGTTCATGGGGCAAAAATTTTACATTGGGCATATGGGAGATCAAAAAAACCTCTTTGGTACTCTTAGCATTGCAATAAGGAGTCCTTAAGAAGCTGAGCTGCTTAGAATCCGTGTGGAATCAAACAGGAGCAAAAGATGAAGAAAAAAAGTCGCCGGCATCCCGCCCCTCGCGACGCGAGAGCGCAGCCCCTATCATCAGGCACATCAACTCAGCGGCGGGACAGCCAATATTTCTTTCCTCTCACCATCTCTGCCAAATCTGCAGCCGCGGACTGATTTTCGGAAATTAATTTCAGGTAACAAGCAATAATTTATTAAAAAATAAGCAACTAAAATGCAAAATTTGCATTGCTCACAATTTAATAATTTTTTAATTTTGTTGTTTGAATTTTTCAGTGTGATGAGGAGAGACTATTTCTCAACCGAGAAAATGCTGAAAAAAATTCATCGGAATTTGCGTTATGCCATCTTGCAGTTAATAAAGGTAGTTTTTGTTTCATTTAAATAAGATTATAATTTTAGTACCATAAATTTTGAATAACATACTACAAGTTGCTGTAATAAAGCTTATTTTAAGCTTATACGTTTTATATTTTAAATCAAATATATGTGAATATGAGATCTTATTTCAGTTTTTTTTTTACAGATTTTGCAAATCCTGTTCTGCAAGTGAACAATGCCGACAAATTAGGAAAGTTTGATGAACTATTGGACCATACGTACGCGTGGAGCAGGAACGAAGGAAGAAAATTTTAAGTTTGATTTAAAAATAATTTCAAAGATTGTGGGTATTATATTACTATTAAAAAATAAATTTTAAAAAGTAAACATTGGTATTATTTAGTAACTAAATATGCAAATTCTAAAATCTGAGTGGCATGCAGGCCAGGCCTGCCGAACGGCATGCAGGCCAGGCCAACCGGACGGCATGCAGGCCAGGCTGATCCGGTGCTGGCATGCATGCCAGGTGCGGAAAGCGGCATGCAGGTCATGCCGACTACCCCTCATGCCGCTGGTATGGCCATGCCGTGGCCTTAGGTCGATTTTGCTCGAAATTGACCTGAGCCGAAATCCATGCCGCGGCATGGAACTTTTTTTGACTGTGTAGTTTATAAAATGTAAGACCTGAAGTAACTGAGGCCCGAAAAGATCTTTGGGGTGCAGTTGTTCAGGCAGATCAGACCTGTAGATGACTGCAACCTTAGCAATGAGAATGGCCGAGTAAAATAGCCAAGAAACATAGCTTAGAGGCAACACTCCAAATCGAGAGGTTGGGAAGCCGTTGATGAAGTGGTCTGGCGACAGGGTGAATGAGGCACTGTCCGTATTGTGTTCAGGGCGGCTGAAGTACTTGAAAGCCACGGTCAAGGTGCCTGCAAAGACAAACAGGCAGATGAAGTCGGCGGCGAACCAGAGGTACGCCAGGGTCGAGTGACTGTAGTGCGAGATTATGTAGTAGTTGAGCACGCTGGCTTGCACCAAATGCACTACTAGGAGAACAGCAGCATCCACCAGGTGCATGACGCTACGCCATCGGAAGCCGCAGATGGTCGCTGGCAGATACGAATCTGGAAAAATAAAATTGATTACAAGTTTCTATAATAGGTTCTTGAAGTTGTTGTTGTGGAGTGGAACCTTTTGGCACTCTAGTCGATCATTTTTTGATTGTTTTTGATGAAATAAAATTGATTGCTTTCATAATTAAGAAAAGTGAGTCAGATTTAAAGGAAAATTATATATATTATATATATATATTTCTTTTGACCAGGCAAGGTAAGTTTTTCTCCTAAAAATAATTAAACATATTCTTAACGGCACAAAAAATTTAAAAAAAAAACCCCAGTTTATGTTAATATCTAATATATTATTTTTTGATTGTAATAAAACAGGGTGATTTACTGATTTGAAGTTCATTTCACAAACTGATTTTTTTACTAAAAGCTAAAATCTTAAGTTAACAATGATAAGTTTTGAAAATATTCGGGTCTATCTTAGTGGATCGCATCTCATGATATTATTATATTGATATTTATTGGATTTATTGACTTGAGGCGTCAGCACGATGTAATTACTCATTGCGACGCGCCCCATTTGCAACATTGTACAAAACGAGTAAGCAAGTGAGAGAAAAAATATATTACAATTCATCAATAAGTTGATATTAATTAATTAACTTCTTCCAATAAAATTTCCCTTAATGATTGCGAGTTCATCTAGAAGTTAAAAAAGGAAGAAAATAATCTAGGTGTTTGTTCATAATAAGCAATAATTAATTTTTTAACCATTTCTATCGATATTTTTATCAATTTTATATAATAGATCTGGTGTACTATAATTCAAGTACATATGGAATAATTGTGGATGTCGGTCAGGCGAAATCTGGCAAAATCAATAAAAATATTTCAAAACCCCAGCCCAGCCTATCCCTTTCAAACTATGGAAATACTGTAATACTGCGCCACAACACAATGCATGCAGCCAAAGAAAGTCACGCTATGCTTTAACAAATTTTAATTAATTGTAAAATAATTTGCTTCAAAACAAAAATTAATACATAACTCACTTCCGTGCTTTTTTGTGGCATACATATATTGATTTGACCGTGTGTTCTTCCTCTGCTCAAAAAGAAAAAATAGACATGACGACTGGACAAGACGAGAAAAAAATTGATTTTATTTTTGTCAAATATTTTCAAATGACTTCTGATTATCATACAAATTTAAATTACAAAAAACGTCCGAGAAGAAAAATGTGTCTCACCTAATCCGTCAGGCTGGTCCTCGAGCATGTTTGAACGAAAGGAGATTACAGACGGCTAGGTGGGAAAAAGTCCGAGAATGTACTCTAATGTATTTGTAAACAAAGTAAACAAACCCGTCGCAAGCGCTTTGGGGGCAGCAGAGCAGGGCGAGCAGGCCACGACAGAAAGCACAGAGTTAGTTTAAACTCTGTGATAGAAAATAGAACAGAAAACAAAAAATAAAAACAAACTGCAAATTGCATCAATCGAAAAATCGAAACAAAACCAAAACAGACAACAGGGAAGGGAACAGAATATTGTTGGAATAGACGCGCCACGGCGCCACCGCTGCCACCTGCCGATCATTCAATAAATCACAATCAGTAGCACGCAATACGCATCGCACGGCCGCGCGGCAACGACTAATTTGAATTTTTGTGGGTGCAATTAAATTAATAAACCATGTTTAAACAAAAAACCTTATTTTCTGCATTCTTTAAACTTATATTTAACAATACAATTACTTTTGTACTAGAAGTTCACGATCGAGGTCGAGGATTGATTAATGGTGATTCATAGTTTAATAAATAATAATTATGGAATACATGATAAACCAATGACTTGAAATTCTAAACGAACATTGATCACAAAAAAATGTGTATCCTAATCATCATTATTATTTTTTTTTTTCATTTTATCCATAAAAAAATCATCTTGAGTCCCGCCCAAAGATCTTTAAGATCCTTGGTCCTTGGTCCCGCCACTCCCGCCACAAGTTTGCAAGGAGCGTCTTTCGCTGCAGTGCGGTCGCGGCGCGTGCGCACTCGCCCCTCAAGGCCATCCCTCTCCCTCTCGTATTATTTCTTTTGTGATCGGATCCTATCCTCGCTGTCGCTGCCTCTGCAAATGGAAGAAGAAGCAGGATCCTGAGCAAAATAAATCGTTTCCGAGTGAGCCGTGCTCTCCACCCTTCCCGTAGCTCCGCAGAAAGACCCTTCCGAGTGTTACAAACGCCAAACGCCGACTTTGCACCCTACAGCACCCCGTCCACCGACGTCCGATGCCGACTCCTCGACGATCGTCGGCCTAGCCGAAGTAGCCCTTGCACGGTCTCGCTCGCTTTTCTCCTTCATCAAATAACCTTAAGGTGCTGAATGTTAATGAAAATCGCGAGTATTTATGTACTTCAATTTTTAGAAACAGAACAAAGAATTTTGGATTGTCAAGATTTTTTAAACAAAATTTCCCTTCTCTGTTCAATTGATGTATTTGTTCTGTTCAAGGAACAGGTGGATGGATATACACTGTTTATTTTTATTTGAAAGATTTTTTCCAGTTAAACACAATTGTGTTTTCAGATGGCTACTGGTGGTTCGCCAAACGAATTGTGGCACCAATGTGCTCGCTGGCTGACCCAATGCGGCCTGTTACGAGGCGACCACAAGGCCAATTGGCCAGAGGCCACTGTCGCCGACCTAGCGTACACCCTCAGGGATGGCGTCATTCTCTGCAGTCTGCTCAAGAAACTTGACCCTGACTGCATTGACCTCAAAATGGTCAACCAGAAGCCACAGATGGCACAGGTCTGTATCCCAAAAGGCACTGAAGAATACTACTTTCTTTGGAAAATACCGATTTTTTTGCACAGAATTTTAATTAATTAATTGTTATTTTCTACTTTTCAGTTCTTGTGCCTGAGAAACATAAAAACGTTCCTTTTGGTATGCAAGGAGTCTTTCCACCTTGAGGACCATGAGCTCTTTGAACCTGAGGAGCTGTTTGACCTCTCAAATTTCCTCAAAGTCCTGCAAACTCTTTCACGACTTTCACGCTGCCAAAAAGTCCAGCGCAAAAGCGTCCAGTAAGAATTTTTTTCTTTAAAACACAAAGTGAATTTTTATAAATTATTCCTCCTAGGGGATTTGATGCATCACTGCAGCACAGTGACTCTCAGGAAGACATTTACCGCTCTTTGAACAACAGGTATATTTAAATTTCAAATTAAAAAATTGTCATTCACGGACTAACTACTTTCCGTCACTGCTTTTGTAACTACTCTGGGGCTTCCTCTCTTTTTTTCTCGCTTTCAAAATAAAGCTGTCCTGTTTCATCCGAGTCTTCGGAGGGAGATAACAAAGACTCAAAAGAAGAAGACGAAGCGTCAAGTGTCGCCTCTTCGTTACCTTCGTCTCATTCAACTTCTTCTCTGTCAACCTGGAAATCTTTCCCAATTTCCTGTCCGATTGGTGACGAAGAGGAAGAGGCCTATGAAGAACTCTGCTACATCACTTTCAATGCTAAAGAGGTCAGGGCAACACCTGTGTTCCTTAAGGCAGCATAGGCATGGCCGCTGATCTGTTTTTATCTTTCTCCGTGTTTCTTGCATTCTTTTTCACTTAAAATAATTTTGGTGGTAGTTTTTATTTTCTGTAGGTTAGGTGGATTTGGTTTTTTTAATCATAAATATATTGAGATGTGTTACTTTTATAAAAATTTCATTGCTTTTTTTAATGAGCATGAACGTTGCATGTGTCAAAAACAGCGAATTGCCGGACAATGAGTTGGAGGTTGAATACAGCAGCTACGATGAGACAACTGAGGAGATTTACCAGGACCTGTGCAAAAACCGAAAGCACAATGACTTGCCTGCGTGGGTGAGTACTGTTTTTCCAGCATTCCTTTTTTCTTCTTATGGACGTTCTTTGTCTTTTCCTTACTAGAGCTTCTTTTAACTTTCGATTGAAATTTGCAGCTCAATGCTTCTCATACTCTTGAAAAGAGGGACTATGTCATCAAAGAACTTGTTGAGACGGAGAAGAACTACATCGAGGTGCTGCAGAATTTGCAGACCAACTTCATGCGGCCACTTGTGAACCACTTGCAGCATAAAGATCACTCCATAATTTTCTGCAATATTAAAGTTTGATTATTTTATTTAAACGAATGCAATTACTGACAATCAATTTATCTGATTTATTTCAGGAATTGACAGATGTACATACTCGCTTTTTTTCAAATCTGCAAGAGGCAGTGATTGAGAGCGCTCAATGTGCCATGCGTATTGGCAAAGTATTTCAAGTCTGCCAAAGCCAATTTCTACTGTATGGCGAGTATTGCGCCAACCTACCCGTAGCTCAGGACCTACTCAACGAACTTTGCTCTAAGTCAGACAATCTCACACTCACTCTTGAGAGGCTGCAGGAGGAGGCTAACCAGGGCAAGTTCAAGTTGCGAGACATCTTGTCAGTGCCCATGCAGAGAATTCTCAAATATCAACTGCTCCTTGAGAAACTGCTCCAGGAAACAGGACCGGTAAGTAGAAAGCTTCAAAAATAATTATATCAATAATAACCTTGCCTCTTAATGCGTACTTTCTTAGCACCACGATGATGCCAAGCACATTGAAAGGGCGCGTGATGCAATGATTGATGTGGCCCAGTTTATAAATGAAGTCAAACGGGACGCTGACACCCTTAAAATAATCAGTGACATTGAGGTAAAATTAATTTGATTAGATTTATGCCTTCAAAATTTATGCAATAGCATATGGAAATTAAATCTAATCAGTGTTGATGGAATGTTTTACTTTGTTTAACAATTTAATTATATTGCAGAGAAGCATTAGTGAATGGGACATGCCAGCAGAGATCAAACTTAAGGACTATGGCCGCCTGATAAAAGATGGCGAATTGCGGATCAAAGACCACAGCACAACAAAGATGCAAGCTCGATATGTATTTGTCTTTGACCAAGTTATGATAATGTGCAAGACCAAGGTTTGTGTAAAATGCAAGTGATTGTGAATTTTTCATAATGTTGAAATCAACAGAGTGACCAGTACAAGTTCCGCGACTGCATCCATATTGGAGATTACAAGATGGAAGATGGCTCTGGCAGAAGGACACTGCAGGGAAATGCTCGCTGGAGTTTCCAGTGGTTTCTTATCCACAAGAGAGAACAAACAGCATACACCTTGTATGCAAGGAATATGGATGACCGCTGCAAATGGATGAAAGCCATCAGAGATGCAATGTAGACTTTCTATCGTGAACCTTGAAATTCTTTTTACTAATATTTGTTTATCAGGGATAATATGAATCCAAAGGGTTGTTCAGATCGAGGCCACCACTTCTTAATGCACACACTAGAACAGCCGCAGCATTGTATACTTTGTCGCAAATACCTGAAAGGCAGTATATATCAGGTACACTTTGATTTTTTTTTTTAATTGATTTTGAAATAATTTGTAATCTTTATTACTGTAGGGCTACAGGTGTGAGCATTGCTTATTGGTTGTTCACAAAGACTGCATACAGGCTGCAGGGGTGTGTGGCGGAGCTAACAATCCGCTGCCGCCAGTCCTGCCTCCCAGACCTCCACTTCCCGTCAACCCACCTCAAACAGTAAAATTTAATATAAAGGTTTAAATTTCTTATTTTTAATATTGATATTCAGCATATGCCATTGGGTACACGACATGAGAATGGAGATGCAAATAACTTTAACTGGGATGGCTTTTTGTGGTATGCTGGAGAAATCAGTCGAGACGCAGCCACAAGTGCTCTTCAGAATGAGCCAGATGGAACTTACTTGTTGAGAGTGCGGCCACAGCGACCTACCAATCAAGGCGAGACTGACTACGCCCTAAGCTTAAAGTGCGTCTTATTTTTATGAAAAGTTTGCTTTTTAAGTAAAACCTTCATTCTAGGACTGATAGCAGGGTGAAGCACATGAAAGTTTACCAAAAACTTAGTGAAGGCCGCCTGGTTTATTTCCTTAGTGAGTCTCGTCTGTTTCCGTCAATAGAAGATCTCATCCGCTTTTACGAGCACACAAGTCTTAGCGAAAATTTCCATGGGTACTTAATATTAAAATTTGGTATATAAGTTTCTTACACATTCTTTTCAGGCTGGACGTTACTCTTCAACTTCCTTTCAGGCGCAGAGAAGCAATAGTGCGCTACGACTTCCATCCCACACCTTTGGAGGACAATCAACTGACACTTAGGGTGGGAACTTTGGTCACCATTATCAGCAAGGAAGGTGATCAAAAAGGCTGGTGGAAGGGTAGAGTTGGCAGTCAGGTGGGTCTCCGATAATATAGGATCGTAAAAATAATTTTTACTTTGCTACGGCAGCAAGCATTGTACTGCTTGCGGAATGATTCTCATTTTACATTTCTATTAAGACAGTAACTAAATTACATGATTTTTGTTTGCAGGTTGGTTTTTTCCCTAAAGACTATGTAAGTGAAAATTCGGTTCCAGAGCAACCATGAAGCTCTTAGGCTTAGCCTTAGTCAACAAACTGGCCATCTAAAGAACACGTTGATATTATTTGTCTAAATTATCCAATATTTTGCATTTTATTTCTGCTGCCAGCGCGGAATGCATTTAAAAACGCACTATGTACAATATGAGACTTCTTTCTCTATGGCTCTAATTTTCACATTCATTTGTTGTAAAATTGGTTTGAATCACCATTTATTAAAATATCTATTGTAATGTAATCAATACATAGGTTATAAAATGTGATGCCTAGAGTCATGTAAAAATGGTTGACTTTAGCTTTGTAGTCTATTCGTACAGAGTGAATTTTGCTTGGCTGGGAAATTTTCACAAGCAACATCGCAATGTGTTGCGATTATCTTCAAACTAAACCGAATGTAATGAGACTAATCATCGTCCAAGCTACACACTGTGTGTTTATAACTGGAAAGCAAATCATTGTGAAAGAAGAAATCAATTTTTCAAAAGAATGTTCATTGGAAGTCTGTCTGAAGCCAAGTAATATTGTACCGTTTTTTAAAGATTATTTTAAGCTCAAAAAGAAAAATATAAAAATACTAATAAGTGTCCAATGTGGCCTAAATTTGAAGCGAGAAGAATATTGTATTGAATCATAGATACATATACATACATACACAAACTATTAATTATTATAATACGTAGCAAAATGTATGCATAAGCCATGATCCGTGCCAATTTGTTATATATGGATAGCTCACTTTGTTTTGCCATGTTGAAATTTAACTTAAAAAAAAGTGCCTGTTGTCCGGAACTGCACTAATTGAAGCAAGTGGCAAAGAGAATTACCAGACATCTGGACTTGTCAATTTATCTCTGCCTAAACAGATAAAGATCTGTACATCTTTATATGGATGTGCAGCAAAAATGGAATGGTTGGTAGCTTAGAGTTTGGGTCTACGCAAACAATACATTGTTGTATCACACTGGTGAACTGATATCCATGACATGCATTTCAATGAACCTAGGATATTACACTTCTTGGAGCTTGCTTTTCCTTTGTTCTGTCAAATCAGCGCAGTGACAAACTACTTATGACATGTGTCTAGTCTTAAAAATATATTAAATCCCTGACGACTTTGTCTTGATCAAGGCATGGATCAAAAATTTGAGTGAAGAAACACAGAAAAATTGGTAAATTGCGCCACATCTTCCTTTATTCTGTTATTGAAGTGTCAAAGTTATTTTAATTATAAACTATTAATGGCAAAAAATGAGCGTTTGAATAATGTACCCTGGAAATAATACTAAGAGGAATCCTAACATATTTTAATTTATTTAATATTTTTGTAAGAGCCTCACATTGAAAAGCAACAAAACAGTCACATGGCAACAAAATATTTCAGGCTGGAAAAAACTGCCTTTATTATTCAAAATGTTACCTCTTCTTTAAGATGGGCAAATTAATTTTATTATGGAGGAGCTACTCAATCTCATCTAATGGAAGCATCAATTCCTTCAACTCAGTGCTACCCATGGTGAAGATTTCTATGTTTTTTGGAGCGAGACCCACAACAAGTGCCAATTTTGCTGCAAGGCCACTTGTTTTGCCTGCATCATTCAGTTTTCTCTCCTCATCCGGCATCATCTAGATTATTAGTTATTGACGAGATGAAAATTGATTGGCAAGTACTTGCAAAATTACCTTATCAGCTATATGTTTATAAATGGCACCATCACTTCCGACGTAGAAAATTGAAAACCCATCGTACCAGCTAAAAGATGAATGTTTAATACAGTTCATTTTATAATTATTAGACACTCACGCCTCCTGCTTCTCCCAAATCTCCTTCATGTTCCATATTCTGAACTTCCAAAATTTTAGCATCACCTGCTCAGTTAAAAATATAAAAATTGAGCAGTAAAATAAAGCACAAAATTTACTCTCATTGCCGAAATGCCCCTGATTCGCCAGCGAATTTTGACACTTCCTTCATCTGGGTGTGACGTAATTTTCAAAATTTCAAACTTGACATAGGCAAATTTTAGGTGACCCACTGTTCTTAGCAGGGCCACTTGTTTGACATAATTATACAACCCTCTAAATAAAAATGATGAAAAAGAATTTGTGAAACACCGAAATTTTTTCTTACACAGTCTTTTTGCCCCTGATATTGTTTTCAAACACAACGTTTGGATGATAAATCGAGTAGTCGAGAGGTTGAATGAAGAGTTTCGGGAGCTGTGTAACATTGTAATTAAAATATCTTAATAAGTTCACCCAATATACCCTTACAGTGTCACTAAGGACGTTGAAAACTTTTTCCAATTGATCAGCTGAAGGTCTGCCAGTGTTACCCGGCTCAGTCGGCTGAGTATCTTTGCCATTGTGTACTTCGGCAAGCAAGATCATGTGCTTCTCAAACTCAGACAAGGCTGATGGGTTGGGATACAAAATGCTGTGTGTAAAAATAATTGAAAATGGATTTAAAAAATTTAATTTAGAAATGAGAAGTATAAAATAACCTGGAAACTTGACTGTTTGGTTGTGACCAAAGGATGATGTCATCAGACGTCAACTTTTGTGGCACCCTCTGCTCCTCGAGCAGGGTGTCCGTTTCTAAAAATCGGGGTTCCAATCTGGTAAGTGATAGACATGCAGCACTTCTAATCGGCAAGACCTGTCCGAAATTAAAAATTTAATAGAATTTTAAAAATGAAAAAAATGCGCAGCAGACCTCTAGGCTGACAAGACTGTCTGAGAGTGTCCGACTGCGCCGGACAAGGTGTTTACTAGCGCACGCGAGAGCACTTGTCGCCGACAAACTCCGCAAGCAATTCGACATGACTTTCTTAAATCAGCGGCTTTGTTAAAATATTTTGAATTTACATGAGCCGGTTCAAATGACGGCCAAGAAATCGAAAACAAGAGAGTTTACTCCAGCTGGTGCGGCGCCATAATACTTTATTTAAAAATTTGCGCTGCACAAGGGAAGCAGTGAAGTGCTGCCACCTATAACAATTATTTTTGAAAAACTGAAATCTTAATAATACCGGTTGATTAATTTTTGTGCACCTCCTTATTAAAAAGTAATTTTGTGCTGAGAATTAGTAAAATTTGCTCAGAATATTTCATAAAATAGTGATTTATATTGAAATATAGCATTATAATATGATTGTGTTCATAAATATTCAGGTTGAATGATTCCCGGTTATATGATTCTTTTTTATTACCGGTTTTCCATTTATCCGCTGCGGAAAGCACCCACGCGTTATCGATGCTTGCTGGCTGCTGAGTGCTGAGCTGATATTGCCGGATAATGCTGATGCTATGGCGTTGGTTGGGCATGGCTTTTGGCTTGGGTCGCGTGAGTCCCAGATTTTTGAGGTGCTATGTACAATTATTTTTCGACGCTGTTCGACTTTTCTTCGCTTTTTCGCGAACTTTTCTTCGCCTGATGCTCACCAAAGATCGGTATAAAAGCTAATCATCGTGAATTTTCAGGATTGGAATTTGAACTTGACTATGTATGTGTATACATAATTACATAATATATAGAAGATGTAGAATTGGGGCCGAAAATTTGGCCACCAAATTTTTCAATGTATAATGTTTGACTTTTCAGGCTTTTGGAATGAGGTCGACCTGAGGTCGACTTCCTTGTGACTTGTGACCTCAATTTTTGGCCCTTTGCCTCCGTTAGACAAAATTATACGTACATACATTTATACGGTTTCACTCCGATCGATTAAATTGCTTAAATTTTGCTTGCATCAAAACGTGTACTCTTTTTGTTAATTAACTTTTTCTTCAGGGTTCACCCCACCAATACTTCTATCTTTTTTCATTTAAATGTACAAAAGCTGTAAAATTAACTGGATCAAAATCGCTGCATAATTCTTGCGTGCCTAGTGGAAGTACAGTCATGGGCACGTTGATGGTGATCACGAGCAGTCGCAGACACGGAATCGGGCTTCCCCGCAATAAATGGATTATTTGCTAGAGGAGGCAGTCATGCACTTCCGGTTCACAAAATCGATCCGACGATGACCCTTGTTCAATTCTGGCAGTTATTTGAAATTTTTTAATTTGAACATCGAACACCGATCGATCTAAGTGTTCATTGGCAGTAAATTTTGCTCCCGAGGAGTCCCGTTCCCGAGAAAATTTTCCTTATCCCGACCGCTCCCAAGTGGTGTCTTAGCAAAATTTTCTTGGGAATTCCCACTCCCGAAAAGAAATTCCCGGGAGTCCCGATAAGGTGTCCCAAACGCAATTTTTTATATTTTCCTCTGCAGAAAAAAAACATAAAAAATCTGTCAAATTTTCAAAATTTTCTCCCGGGAGTCCCATTCCCGATAAAATTTTCCCGGCTCCCTCCCGCTACCATATTGTTGGGACAAAATCACTCCCGCCTCCCGGTACTCCTGAAGATTCCTGTTCCTGTTGGACCCTCTAGATCGAACTTATTTGTTCCCAAATTCAATTTTTCGTTCCCAGTGTTCCGTTCCCACTTCCCACCAATCTGCACGTGGTCCCATTTGAGCGCTTTGTTAGAAAGAGAACCAGTTCTTTTCTCTCTCTTTTTTTTATTTTATTTTTTGTTCAGCAGTCCCCCACATGTTGCCTGGCTGTGTGCGAAAGCGAGTGACATCATCTGTCTGAAAATTATTATTGCTCGCGTGCAACCCGAGGAATTTCCTCTGTGGGGCCCAACCGTCCGACCAGACAACTATTTTTCTCTTCTTATCCTATTTATTTATTTATTTTATTTATTTATTATCCATTCGATATACAGTCATAATGTCAGTCAATATACACAGCAAAAAAAAAAAACTATACATAAAGGTACTTTCCCGCTCGAAAGTAATAGTGGAGGATTTCCTACTTGAGTAGGCCTCTCTCGGTGCACAAGCCAGCGTGGAATTATTATTGCCAGTGGTGACCCACTTTGGCAGAAGAATTCAATTTGGTGCAGTTCCACTGCAGTGCTTTGCAGTGTATTACATTATTTATTTGTTGTTCGCCGCCTCCGGACGAAATGGTTAATATCTTTTTTCATCACATGCCATGGATACACTTCCTTTATTACATTTTAAACACACAAAAATTGAAAATTCCTTAATTAATCAGAACATGATTTTTTTTTTTTATTATTATTGTTGTGTATGTGTACATATCTCTGTATCCGTCAAAATTGTTTAATTTTGAGTTGAAAAGTGAAACAATTTAAATTTTACGTGGCATTCTGAAACTGAGCAATAAAAACCAAAGTTTAAATTCCAATATTTTTGATAATAAATGTAAACCCTTTCCTACTATTTTACAAGTTTTCAGTAGAAAAATTAAGTTTTGAAAACTAAAATTTAAAAATATTTTGATGGGAGAATTCGTTTTCAAAGCTTTTTTTCTGCTTGCTCACAATCAGTTGCAGAATTCAGTTTTAAATTTCTCGTTCCATAGTAAAAAAAAACTGAAAAACACAAACACACACAATGAGGAAACAACATGCAAGAACCCCCTTGTCTAAGCGACTTTTTTCCAATATGAAACCAACAGGAAACATCCATTTTGTTGCTTGGATTCAAAATTTATAAAACATTTTTTAATGAACTTTCGGGCATTGTAAATTGAATAGCGAAATGACTGATAAATTTAAACTTTCAGGTAAATTGATAAGTTAAAAGATGCAATTTGTTGCAAATTTGCATCAGTAAAGGAGTCTCAGTTTGCAAGATGAAATTTCAGAATAACAGGAGCAAGGTTTTTTTCTAGTTTTTATTCACCTGTCAAAAAAGGTTGTAATTTTGAATGATATTTTGTTACAATTTAACCAATTTGGAAGTTAACAAGTGAGTTTCAAACTTTGAACTGTACTTAATTTAAATTTTAGGTTAAATATTATTATTCTACTAAATCCTTAATATACTCTTTTAGGGAACCTGATCTTAATTACTTTTGTTGCAAATTCAAATTCATTAAGCGAAATGGCCGTCTAGTAAACGGAATTTGAAAATTTCAATTCATCCCATTGAAAGCTGCTCCCTCGGTGCTTTTCTTTCATTCGCGATTCAACGGCGGCGGCGGGGAATGCGGGCGAAAAAAATTGCCATTGCAGCGAGTGGGTTCGATCGCGGAAATGCACGTCTGTCGGCAATTGGCCTCCCCTCTCTCGTCTCATTGACGAAGCCAACTAACAATTAGGCACGCAGTGCGGCCGCGGCCACAAGTCATTCGCTTTTGCCCAGTTCGCGGACGCGGTGCGATTCTGCTTGGCTTATCGCGGGTTTGGCTCCTTGGGCAAGGGTATTTCGGAAGTCTCGTGCGCGCACCAGAGAGTCGCACCATCGGCCGAACGGGCGAATTCGGCCGACGCGCCATTCGGTCGCCTCCGGCGGAGGCTCGGGGCGGGTGTTGCGAAACGACGCGCATTCGGCCGGCGCTGCTGCGGACTTGCGGAGCGGCGAAAGTGGCACGGCGGGCGTTCGGTTAGGGTATTTCGGAAGACACGAGCCGCGCCGGCGAGAGGCGCTGCCGTCGGGCCGTCGAGCGAGCGATTCTGACGCGGGAATCGCACGCGAGTGGACGTGTCCGCGACTCTCTCCTCAAACACCACCGAGTAAGTCCCCTTCCGGGGCCACCGAGGGATTTCCCTACCTTGGCCCAAGCGGTCCCCAAAACGTTTCCACCGGTTTCAGTGAAATTTCGATAATTTTTACCGATTTTTACCAAAACTAGCGCCTCTTTTGTTGGTACCTTGGAGCACCATTCGCGAATTTTGCAAAGTCGTTCGAAAACCCTACCTTTAGGTCAATTCCTCCTTTTCTCCGATTTATCTCCATTTCACTTATTTAGCTTTTCGATTTCCGTTCGCGAATTTCGGTGCACTTGCGAATATTAGCGGTTTCGCTTTTCGCCGTAGCCAAGCGTTGCCCCCTCACTCCCCCTCGGCGTCCCTTCTCGATTGGCGTCTCGCGGATCACTTCAGAGTTGCGGACGGACTGTGGCCTCCTGCAGGACCCAGAGGAGCCCCAGTTTTTTTTTTGCAGGCTGTCGCGAGCAGAGCGCCATTTTGCTGGCCACGTCGGGAAATTCGCAGAAGAGTAAAGCTGGCGTCGCTTCGTAGGAGGGGGATTTGGACTTTGGCCTTAATTTGCTTAACGGTCAGTCTTTTTCTCTCTCCTATGAACTCGACGCCAAAAATCATCAATTCATCACTTGTTAAAAAATTGTACAATTTGTGAAAAAGGAAATAATAAAAACAAAAATGTTTTTTAAGTAAAAAGAAATCTCGAGTTTTAATTACCAAAAAAAAAGTGTCAAATGGTGTCACGAAAATTCGCAGCCGCTCATATAACCTGTGAGTCGGCCTGATACATTATTTTTTTATTTGAGCTTGATAAGCAGCTTATCGAAAGGGTTGGGCAATCTCAGGGCAGGAAGTGGCGGCGATGCGTTTTGGCGAAGGAATTATACAAGAGCAGTGAGCAGTTCTCACATCGATTTTCTCGCTCATGGTTGCTAAGAGGCTCCGGCGACACGTGTCGAGGGCCAACCTAAAATTAGGTCACGCCAGCCAGAAAGCAGGCCAAGTTTATGTGTTGCCTATGCGTGCAGCCGTGGCCAAAAAAGGACCCATTTTCCGCTCCACGTGCCGACCTCTGCTTTATGCTTTGCTCTCGCAACACACACGAGCGTCTTTTCTTCCCTCTGAGATTTTCGAACCGGTTTTTCGGAAAATTTTGTATGAGAAGATTGATCTTTTTGAATGAACAAGGCGAGATTATGTACAGAATTCAAAGCGCTCAAGGCGAGTGAAGCAATTTTTCGTGTTTGCTAAGCTTTTATCTCAAGAATTATTCGCAGAATGTAGGGCTGCTCTCTGTCTCCTTCTTTTTTATCATTCCGAGATTGCTCTGCTTATTTGTGGAGAAACCGGATTTTCCTAATTTAAGATGAATGGAATTCTAAAAATAAGTTATAACTCCAACGGTTTTCCTCAATTTACCAGGAAATGTATAATAACGAGACCACTAGAAGGAAATGCGTAACAATGTTAAATAAGTCTTAATTAAATTACATTTAATATTTTATAGAGGAGATGATTGTTTTCATGAAAAACGTGTATATGTTTTAGTTTCTTTAACTCTTATTCCTATTTTCCTTTTGACCCAATTGTAAATGGGAATTACGTCTGACAATGAGTGTACTATTCGTAATATCACACCATAAGCTGATAAAGAGTGGCAATAAAAGAAATAATAATTTAAATTTAGTTAATGGGAAAAAAATAAATAAATAAAATAAAGTAATAATTTTATACAGTTTTGTTTTTCACCCAAATAAGAACTTATTTATGTGAAGAGGTTGACCTCAGTTTTTTAGTGGTTTGTTAAATTTTGCTGAATTATTTCGTACTCTTTGTCTCACCTACGAGACATGAGTTCTAGAAATAGATTTGCAGAAACTGGTAGAGACCCGTTTTTTTTTAAGCAAAAATTTTTAACGAGGAAAAGGCCCATATTTCAAATTAATTTATTATTAATAATTTTAATTTACAATATACTATAGCGTCTATAGCAAAAAATAACTTAAGTTCTGAGTTCAGATCCTTTATTGTAAATTTGCAGTTTTGATTTCTACAAAATTTCCAAAAACATTTGGCTGTAAAATTATATATTTGTGCTAATTAATAAAGTCATCAATTATTAGAAGAAAAGTTTTTTAGCACAGTTAGCACAATAGTGTGCGCCTTTCCTTTCCCTAGTGTCAATAAGAGCAAGACTTTTTATTTTCAAACAAATTAAATAAAGATTTGAATTAAAATATGTTAATTCCATTATCTTTTAAAAGAAAATAATATTGTTCTGTAATTTATGTAAACTGAAATAGAATGGCAGAATGGGAATAATATATAGTGAATACTTATTATGCATTTCATTTTCTAAAATTGTAATTATAAACATCAGGAGACAGGAATCATCTGCTTCACGTTTTGTAACAAATTTTTTTTATAATTATTTTGTATGCATTTGTATTTTATGCTAAATTGAATTAGAAAAGTGATTGATTTATTTTTGTGTTAAACCTAATTGACTCCATCAAGAATTTTTGAAGATTTACTTTTAATTTATTATTGAAGAATAGAAAATATCAGCTAAGACTGATTTATTATGCAAATGCAACATAATTAATTGAATTAATTAATTTACATTGTAAGTCAGATTGGTACTTATAATTGGTACTGAAAAAAATAGCAAATTAAATCCACCGCTAGAATTAGGACTCAAAATAATTTATTTGAATAATTTAGTTGCAAATTTAGATAAAACTCTTTTGATGTTGAGCGTTTTAGCAGACATCTGCTAGTTGTAAACCCTTTCTTCTCTTTTTCAAATCCAAATTTTTTTTGTATTGATGGAGAAGAATAGATCATAATAATAAAATTTTGCGGGGCAACTCATGTACCATACCGTATATTCTATTCTATATAATTAAAAAAATGGATGTTATGATATGAATTAAAAATTATTGAGGCAAGTTCTAATTCAAGTAAATATGAAAAAAAAAATTCAAAAGATACATTTATGTATTTAATTGTAAATTGCGCAGCATCTTTTTGTTAAGGGTTTATTAATATTTGGGAAAAATTCAATGAGATTGAATATTAATCAAAGTGCGTTGAATTTTGAATGAAAGGAAAAACCCCTAGCAAAATGAATCATTCTTTGCGCATCAATAAAACGAATAAAACACAGCAAAAAGTGCTGCGATGCGTCACACGAAAGGAAAATTCAAAAGAGTTCAATTTGATTCAGTTGTGTGAGGTTGAGTGCATGAGAGCCAAGTTCAAGTTGCAAGCAGCTAGTACAACGGTTAGTTGGGTTAGTAAGAGAGAGGCGAAAAACGGCCAATTGCTGCCATCTGTCTGCAAAAGGGCAACTCGCGATGGTGCTCACGACGGGGGCGTGGTCGGAGGTGGTCGTACGATTAACTGCGTATTGACCCAGAGTGCGGCGCCCGCGAACCCACGATCGATAGCAAAGCGCAGCATAGCGGTTCATGGTGCGCGTGGCTGTACACAACGCTGTACAGCTGTTAGGGTGGGGGCGGGGGAGCTCGCAGTCGTCGGTCGGAACTAGAAAGAAAGAGAGAAAGAAGGAGACCCGGGCCCTTCGGTCGTCGGTGTGTGACAGCGGAGAGACATCACCACGCCTGCTGCCCGCCCGTCCGGTCGCCGAAGAACCGACCAACGAGATGCCCGATCGGCGGCGGTAACACCAAGGACATTGCCGCCCTTTCTTCGTCCTACCGAGGAGGATCTTGCCGGCGCCCCTCGTGCTGCCACCCGCCCTCGCGATGGCCACCCCCGACTATGTGCCCGTGCCCGAGTTCTACCGCAACCGCTGCCTCTTCATCACCGGCGGCACCGGTTTCATGGGAAAAGTCCGTCTTTGATATTTATTCCGTTATTTATTCGACTAATTATACACGTAATTATCTCAATTCGCAGGTGCTGCTCGAGAAGCTGCTGCGCTCCTGTCCCGACATCAAGAATGTGTACCTACTGATGCGCCCCAAGAAGGGCCAGGATGTCGCCACCAGACTTGCTCAGCTCCTCAACTCGCCCGTCAGTACCAGTCTTTTTATTCTAATATGTAAATGAGGCATCTGGGATCTGGGACCGGAAAATTAAAGAATTTAAGAAATTTTTGAAAACATTTTAGTTGTATCGGGGTGTATTATTGTTGGAGCTGTATTTTTCATTTTTATTCGAGGAATTTTGGAATGCCACAGAACTTAAAAATCCACTCAGAAGTGGGTTTGGGAAATTTTTCTTTCATTTGTGGCTAAACTCTTAACCAAAAACCACAAAATAATACCCGCGTTCATATCACAAAGTATTTTTGGACACATTATTTATCTTTTTAAATTAATAATTTAAAATGAGAGTTGTTTATTAAATCTGCACAATCAATAATTATTGCATGTTTCCAGTTATTTGACACAATTAGAGCAGAGCAACCACAGTCCTTGGGTAAGGTCATCCCCATTTACGGGGACGTCACAGAACCTGAACTAGGCATCAGCCCTGCTGACCAGAAGGTGCTCATCGACAATGTAAGTCCATTTTTTATTAAATTCATGGTCTTCTTCACCATGGGAAATACATATCTCTCTTGGCACAGGTTTCTGTCGTCTTTCACTCTGCAGCCACAGTCAAATTCGACGAGGCCCTTAAGCTCTCGGTGACCATCAACATGCTGGGCACCAAGCAGCTGGTTGCTCTCTGCCATAGAATGATGTCTTTAGAGGTAAGAGATTTTAAATTTTGCACCAGGATTTTTTTTTTGACAATAAACAATATTTTGTAAGAATCAGTAAGAAACATCTAAAAGAAAACAATCAATTTTAAATTTTGACAAAAAAATTTTTCCTAATGATAAAAATCTATACTTAAAGGAAGCTTAAATTTCCTCGTTTGTGATTTTTTTAAACTTCAAGCTCAAACTGCATCACCATCCCTATAACAAAAATAATTTTCTCCTTAAAATCATTACATAATATAGATAAATCAATTAATTTTTGAGGTCATTGACCTTGTTGAGTATTCAACTTATTTTCCCGAGGGCGCGTCTAATTGCTGCAAGATAATTTTATTCTCTTCTTTGTAGTAAACACCGTGCAAGGGGTCATTCGTCTCTTATTATTTTTCAACTACTTTCTTTAAAAAAAATTGGTGCCAACCAAGCCGCCGTGTTCAAGGCGCCGATTAATCCTGGTGTGCTAGTATGACTCGAGCGCTTAGCTGGCTTCATTTGCCATTGATAAGTCGGCGCACAGACGGACTGTACTGAACCCCTTTGTGTCTCGAAAAGTGTCGCTTTTGCTCCGCCCGCGCAAAATGTATGACGGGTGTAGTATAAACTTTCAAACAACTAAAAGCAACTGCCAACAATCCTCGGTGGCGCCTCTTATCAAAAAGAAAAAAAAAACTCGGCAGGGGCAATTAATTAATTGATCCCGCGAAACCCCAGCAGCCGCCGCTCTCGGCCTTGGATCCCAATTTGGAGAACAGTAGCCGCAGCGGGCAGGCAGCTGCTTCCATCACTACTATACTCTAGAAAGAAAAAGAACTCAATAATAGATATGTTTGCCATGGGCGGCGGGAAAAATCATTGATACTATGGAATAACAAGTTAATTTAATAATTGTAATACTGCGTGGGTCGACGTAGATGCTCGCGGGGAATGCCTATGTCTGTTTGTCGCGCCTGGAAAAACAATGAAATGCACAGAATTATGAGAAATACAATAATAGAATTAACTGCCTCCGTCTAGATATTCTTCCTATTTACGAAGGGTTAACATTTTTTTATTAATTTTCTAGAGGTAAAAAATATTTACATTTAATTCTAATCGTTTAAATAAACAATTTATTCAATTTCATCCAACATTTTAATGCCCTATTATTTTGAAGTAATTTAATTAAAAGCGTAGAAAGGTAATTTACAATGTTTATGTAAAGAGCAAATCAGCTGACCCGCCCTTATGGGCTTACTTTCAAAATTAAATTTAACTGCTAATGGACCTCGACCGCAAAACATTTTAACGATTATGTTTGAAACATTTTAATTTGCTAGAAAAGTCAGGTAAATAATTTTCTCCGTTATGCTTAATTAAATTTGAAAAATTCTAAAATGACCTGTTTTTTTTTATCAGAATTCAAGTTTTATTGTTTACAAAAATATAATTATGCTTTTAGGCACTAGTGCATGTATCAACAGCATACTGCAATTGTGACCGCGAGCAGGTCAACGAGATCATCTACCCGCCTCCGTACGATCCTGAGAAGATCATTCAATGTATGGAGTGGATGGACGAAGAACTGGTCAATGTGATCACGCCGCATTTGATCGGCAAGCGGCCCAACACCTACACCTTTACGAAGGCGCTTGCTGAGCACATGTTGCTCAAGGAGAGCGGAAACTTGCCCGTCGCCATCGTCAGACCCTCAATTGGTATGAAGCCCAAATCGTCCTCTGATCCCTCGCAAGAGATAATTATTGAATTGAAGCCAAATCCTAGACCACGAATTTAATTAATAGCGCTGTGATTGTATTACCCTTGGTTAAAATTTAAAATTTGGTTTAAATGTGAGTAGATTATCAAAAAGTGATAAGCTCTTGGGTGGTCAGCTAACATAAAACTCCTTTTAGTGAAAATACAAGCACACCCTTCTTGGCCACTCGTTTCGTGGAATTTTTTGTTTGCACTTTGATAAACGTTAGCAGTACGTCAAGTTTAATCACATTTAAGTCTGGTTCTGTGTGATGGATTCCTCCAAATGTCATCTAATCATTTTTGGGTGGAAATATATGAGATAAAATTGTGAGCTTTTAACCACTTTAGCTCTAATGTGGAGGGGTAAAAAAAATTTAAAATCTTGATAAATGTTTGACTAATTTTTTCAGAATTTTTAATTAGGATTTGCATCAGTAAAAAAATTCATATATAATGTGTTATTAATTTGAAAATAATGAAGTTGAATTTTATTTTATGGGCTTTTAAAATGATTTTCAGTTTTGTCAGCGTACCGAGAGCCTCTGCTTGGGTGGGTGGACGGCTGGAACGGCCCCACTGGCGTAATTGCTGCTGCCGGCAAAGGAATCTTCCGAACTATGCTTTGCAATGGTGCCATGGTGGCCGACCTCGTACCCGTTGACATTGTAATCAACCTGCTGGTTTGTGTTGCCTGGCACACGGCCACCACAAGGTTTGCCAATTGAGCTCCCATTGATTTTCAACTGGTCTTGAATGTTTTATGTCAATTTTAGGCCAGATGGAATTCGTGTGTATAACTGCACGACAGGCATGCAGCGGCCAATCACGTGGAAGGATTTTGTGGGCAACTGCTTTGTCTATTTCCACAAGCACCCGCTGCGGGACACCCTGTGGTACCCTGACGGGACCTGCTCGACCAACTGGTTGCTCAACTTTGTCAGTGAGACGGTGATGCATACCCTTCCTGCCTACACCATGGACAGCGTCAGCAAAATGTGTGGGCAGAAAGCTTAGTAAGTAAAACCTCTGGCATAAGTAAAATATTTTAAGACAAAATATTTTGAATATTTATTTAATTTTAGTGAAGCTAAAAATCATTTATAAAAAGAAATTGACACTCGAGGGGATGCTCATGGAAATGAAGAGATTGGGCTTTTCTATAACTTTAAGAATTCATAATTATAATTACATTAAAATTACTTTCTTTCGTCATTTCTCTTAACTGTAATTTTATTTAACTTTTTTTAAAAGAATTTAGATCTATTTAAATTTTAAATTAACTTTTTAATTAATAGTATGGTGCGCACCCACGAGAAGCTGAAGAAGGCTGCGGAATGTCTGGAGTACTTCTCAACGCACCAGTGGCAATTTTCCAACACAAACGTAGTTGCCCTGCAAGAAAGGCTGTGTGGTGACGACCGGAGACAATTCTCCTTTGACGTCCGTGACATCCACTGGCCCAGTTACATCGAGAATTATGTTATCGGAATCAGGCAGTTCATCTTTAAGGATCCGCCTGATACCCTCTGCGTCGCTAGAAAGAATCTTCAGTGGTAATAAAATTTACAATTCCTGTGGTCTTTACTTTTTCTTGATTGGTTATGTCTATTGACTTGCTCTGCTTGTTAGCAAATGAATGGTAATTTAATTTCCTTCAATTTGCAGGCTGTACTTGCTGCACCGGTGCACACAGGTTCTGGGTGTGCTGCTCGCGTGGCGAATCGTGATGCTGCGCTCGTCAACTGCCAGGAACCTTTGGTACTCCCTCTTCAGCATGATCATGCGCATCGTCCGCATGGTGCCCACCCACATATGAAGAAGCACCATGCCCAATTTATGCTGCTCCTCTCTCTATAGTGAAGCTGCCTCTTTACACATGGACAAACGACAAGAAATGTAAAAGCGCTGATTTCAGAAATCACCCAGCTTGAATCTTCAGCACAACTCTTCTTATATTCCAAGACAGACAGGAGAATTTCGAAGAAAGCAGGTTGCCTCTCCCCGCTGTAGCCAATTTTTCAGTTGTCAGACAGACTGTTATTAAATAGTCAAGCACGTAGTGTTAAGAAAGAGACAAACCGATTTGGCGACAGAATATCATTGGTTTGATTGATGATGCGAATAATGTGATTTTAGTGTCATTGTCAGTATATTGTGGGCAGTGTGGGGAAGAACGCGACTTTGCCGATTCCCAAAGATGTTAACCCAAAGATTCCAAGCACCAATAACTAAAAAAAAACTGAATTTATTAGAGCAAAAAAGACAATGTGAAAAAGAGGGAGACAGAGCATTTTTCACACTCGCTGGGTTTGACCGATTTTAGTCACCAATTCTGAAAATAAACCCAACCGCGTTTATATAATAATAATAAATACTAATTAGCCAGAGGGAAGCTGCTGTTGAATAAAAGGATATCTTGCGTGCCAGAGAGACACACAGTAATTAAACAGTTGTTTAAAGGAATCGTTAGAATCTGACGTAGAGGGTGTGCTTGTTGTTAATTTGTTCAAAAATTTATTGAGAAACGTCAGTTTTGGTGACGATGACGACAGCCCATTTGTATTTAATCAAAACGCTACCGATGATTAGCCTACATGTAGTCAAGACGCAAGGATATACAGTAGACTCCATAGAGTCACTTGCTCTGGTCTATTCCTCATTTTCTTAGCATTTTTTTTAAATATATAAATTTACTTTGTAATCAAAATTTAGTTTTAAGGAAATATAACATTTTGGCTGCACATGAACTGGTCATGTCGTTAAAAGTGACTTTGGCTTGTGTGTGTTTTTTAGCCAACTCTAGTTTGGTGCTCTCGTTTCTTGAGAAGAAACCTGCAATTATTGATCTAGTTTACATTATACACATACAATACGCTTGTGTTACCATCACTTGTTTTAATACGCAATCTCTTTGTTTTATTAATAGAGCTGATGAGTTTATTTGAATTGTTTGTTTTTGTTTTTATTATGCTAGTTGATTTATTGTAACGATTAACAAATCAGTTTAACCTCAATTTATTTTACGTTAATTTATTTATTCAGTGAAGAAAGTTGCATTCTTTTTCCCGTTATTTAATATATCTGCGAAAAAAAATGTAAATGTTGTAGCGCGCGAAAATGGGATTTTACACAAACAACACAATAAAATGCAAGAAGTGGTCATTGAGTATGTATTATTACAAATAATAATATGTAAATTTCCATCCACGCTTCATTCAAGTTGCAGTATTATACTGATTTTTATCGATATGAAATTAATACAACAATAAAATTTGCTCTTTTCAATTACAGCTCAGACAAGTTTCATTCTTGCTTTTATCACTCTCCATTTTTAATTTATGATAGAATCAGGTCTGCCGCACGTCTACTTTCAGTATATGAGAGAGCATGCGTTGAACAACAAAAAAGGCGCTATTGTGATAACCTTTTCTTATCAGCAGCAAGGTCAATAAGAATAAAAATCAGGCTCCAGTTGTAGGTGCTGAGATTTTGGAAGCTGCGGTCCAAGTACAAACAAAAGGCAGTAAAAAAAGGAGCAAATTAAGCATTAGGAATGGCTGTAAGTTGGCATAATTAATTTTAAATCAGGAATTTTGTTACAAAAATTTCAATAAAAAAAGGAAGAGTCAACTAAAGTTGAGGATGACAAGAAAAATGAGAATCGGCTATGGGGAGGCCGCTTCTCCACCAGTCGCATTCATCAGTGCTTGGAAAAAATTAACAACTCAATTGAAATTGATCACCGACTTCACAAGCAGGACATTAAGGTATATATATCTGACCAGAAAATGTTCAAATGGTATTTATTGGTTTAAATTTTTTTTTTAGGGAAGTTTGGCGTATGCAAGTGGATTGAAGGACGCGGGGAATTTAACTGATCAGGAGAGAAATTTAATTGTTGCTGGACTAAAAAAGGTAGCTCATTTACTGTAAGACAATTTTAAAAATTTATGATTTAATTAAACAGATTGAGGAGGAATGGGCTGAGGATGAGTTTCAACTTTACCAGTCAGACGAAGATATACACACAGCTGTAGAACGGAGACTAAAAGTATAATTTGTTAACAAATGAATAAAGGAAGTGTCTATAATTATTTTGAAGGAACTAATCGGTCCTTTGGCTGGTAAACTTCATACTGGACGCAGTCGTAATGACCAAGTGGCCACGGATACTAAATTGTGGCTAAAGGACGAGTCTGAAGAACTAACCAAATTATTATCTGGCGTTATAATGGTTAAAATAATGTAATGAAAAAATTTAAGATCAAACGAGCAATTAATTTTAGCGCATGGCTAAAAAAGCCGAGGAGCAAATTGACGTGCTTATGCCAGGATACACGCATCTGCAAAAGGCGCAGCCGGTCCGTTGGAGCCACTGGCTCCTGAGTCACGCGTGGGCGCTGAACGAAGACCGGCAGCGTTTGGCGCAAATTGTGGAGCGAACGATGAGCCGCTGTCCCTTGGGCAGTGGGGCCCTGGCTGGGACGCCGCTGGCCCTAGACAGATCGAAAGTTGCACAGGCACTTGGGTTCACAGGAGTTTCCGAAAACAGCATGCACGCTGTTGCTGACAGAGACTTCGTTGGTACGAAAGAAAAATATTACAATAATGGAAATAAATAAATCGGGCTTGTCCTTGTTGTAATTTTTTTTCCAAAAACAAAACGTTTCATCAACATCTTTTGAATAAAAAAAAAAAATAATAATAATAAATAAATATAGTTTACAAGCTCAATTCATTCATTCCAGATCATCTCCTTGAGTGTCAACATATTAAAAAAAAGTTCAAATAGTAAATTTTTGTGAATTTTTTTGCATATATAGTTTTTTTATAATAAAGAATTATCCTTTCTTATTTTATTTTTCATTCGCAGCGGAATTCACGTTTTGGAGCGCCCTGACCTCCGTACATCTGTCTCGAATGGCCGAAGATCTTCTTCTGCATTGCTCTTTAGGCTTTGCAAAAATGGGCCCTGGTTTAAGCACTGGCAGCAGTTTAATGCCCCACAAGAGTAATCCCGATGGTGTTGAGCTACTCCGCGCCAAAGGCGCTACTCTGACTGGACTGGTATATATTAATTCATTTTTAGAAGTTCTGTTTTTGATAAAAATATTTTTTTTCAGTGCACTTCAATGTTGGCACTTTTAAAAGGGTTGCCATCTACATATAACAAGGACTTGCAGCTGGACAAGTCGATTCTCTTCCAGGCACACGATGACTTAAAACTTTCACTCGAACTCACATACGCTGTGATTGATACACTCCAAGTATAATTATTATTATTTTTTTGACAGTTTCAAACATATCAGATTTTTTTAGGTTGACAGAATAAATTGCTTAGCTGCTCTTGAGCCGAGCATGCTGGCAACAGACTTGGCCTATTATTTGGTCCACAAAGGGGTATATTTTTGTATTTTCCTCCGCCCAAGCTAACATTTTAAATTTTATTCAGATACCTTTTCGGGAGGCGCACAATTTAGTCGGAACTGTGGTTAGGTTGGCCGAGCAGAAGAAAATTGAAATAAAGGATATTTCAATCATTGAGTTGAAGGAAATCAGGTTGAATTCCGAAATAATTTATGAGGGAAAAAAATTTAAAATTTTTGTTGCTTAAAAGTCCACTTTTTGACGAGGATGTGCTTCAAGTATGGAGTTACGAGTCCAGTGTTGAGCAGTACAAGGCGTTCGGAGGCACCAGCAAATCCAGCGTCGAGGAGCAAATTGTCAAAATCAAAACTCAAAACCACACGGAATAAATAAATAATAAATTCTTTTAATGTGAAAAAAAGAGAATGAAATAGCAGAATTAGAAATAAATAGGTGTTGAAAAAATCCTAGAAATTTGTTTTCCTTCATATAAATAAATTATATTGATAAATTCCAAAAATTGTTTATATTTTAGTTTTCTTACCGTTTCTTACAATAGAGCTCTTTAAACATAGAAATCCGTAACATCAGTTATTGCAATTTGCAATGAATTATACGGAATTATGCAGCGTTTCACGTTTGCATGCCTCTTTCGCGCGCTTCCCTTTGGCCTCCTAGCGGTCGCTGATAAAAGCCTCATCTGACGTCACAGCCGCCATATTTGTTTATTTTGTTTATTGTGGTCACAAAACTCACATATCTCGACTATCTCGAGCATTTAGCTCAGAATAAATTCATAGAAACGACTTTTCCATAAAAATCTGCAACCATGGCGATGGCAGCGATGCAAAAACGGACAAATGTAACTATTTTTCATATTGCAGGGCGTAAAGATCGGTCAAAACCTATGTACATAACTTGAAAATATAGTAAAGATTTTGTGTGCCCTAAAGTCATTCGGGAAAATTAAAACTTTTTGTTTGATTTATTTTTCGAATATTGCATTAAATGCTTAGTTTCTTGTTTTGTTTATTTTCAGGTCCGTCTACCTCCTGAGGTCAACAGGGTCCTTTACATCAGAAACCTGCCGTACAAAATCACAGCGGAGGAAATGTATGACATCTTCGGAAAATACGGAGCCATCAGACAAATCAGAGTGTATATTTTTTTCTGACCCATTTAATTTTATAGAATTCACTATAAATTTTATTAAAATTTGCAGGGGAAACACGCCAGAAACCAGAGGTACAGCTTTTGTAGTTTATGAGGATATTTTTGACGCCAAGAACGCCTGCGACCATCTGTCGGGATTCAATGTTTGCAATCGGTATCTCGTTGTTTTGTATTATCAGGTAAAATTAGTATTAAATTTAAAGGTTTCACAATATTAATCATTGAAAATTTCAGGCCAACAAAGCTTTCAAGAGAGTGGACGTGGACAAGAAGATGGAGGAACTGGAGAAAGTGAAAAGCAAATTCGGCTTGGACGATGACAAATAATTGTCCAATAGAAACATTTCTTTTTATTTGGAGTGCCTGGACGTGAGTGAATGATTTATTAAGGACTGGAGTGGCATTTTTTTAAGAAATAAATTGAGACTTAAGTTTTATTTCCATGTTGATTTATTGAATGAAACACCTGGCGCTGAGTGTGCTTAGACTCGTCAGTCGCTATAACAAATTTTCCAAATGACTATAATTGAGTACTTTACTTAATTGTCTCAGCGCAAAACATCGTTTAAATTTTCTCTCATATTTACAGGCTTCATCTGTTCTAAAATCTCATTTGCACTTTTTGCAAACAAATTAGCTATTATAAGGAGACATCTTGATTTTGGCCGAGCAGGCCTCGAGCGTCTCACTTTTGGAAAGTTCTCAGGAGTGGATGGAGTTTCAAGAGCAGTTATTCAATTAGTTAATTTACACGAGCAGATTAAAGTAATTTATATTTTACAAGGACCTGACACAGCACAGCGGAATTGTTAAAGTGGACAAGTGTTCCGAGCCAATCAAACCACCACTGGATTTAAAGAGCTGAATTAATTTTGTGAAATTTTTGAAAAGTGATTGGTTTGTTGACTTTGCTGTGAATCACTTGGCCACGTCTTAATCAATTCCCTTTTGCCGGTGTGCCAGAGTTGACGGAGGCTGACATTCATTTAAGGGCTCAATGTGTTTCTTGCTTTTTAACACAAAAATTTAACACATTTCTCAACGCTTTTGGTCGAGTCAAAAATGTACAAATCGAGTTATTCTAAAACTTTAAAACTTCAATGTTTATTTAAGATTTTAATTTAGAATTTTCGTAAAAAGTTTTTGTTTACATTTTGGTGATTTAAAATTTCCCTCTGCTACAAAGTATATTTTGCAGAAATTGATTTATTTTTACACAACTATTTTACCACGCACATATAGTTAGTAAGTATCTTATGTACATACACAGACAACATCACAAGAGCGGCCAGCATGGATTTTAACTCTTTTTAAGTTTTTAAATCTAAAATTGGCACCCTGGATTGAAGTTTTACAATAATTTACAAGAAGTTGCCAGAGATGAAATTGCTCAAGCTTCAAGAAATCAAATTAATTTTTTAATCTGTAACATCTGAATCCACTCGCACAACCTGCATGCATGTAAACAATCAGCTGCACTTCATTACAAAAATTATATTATAATATGATGCAGGGTTACAATTTGGCAAAATTCTCTTTCACTTTCATAAATAACAACTGAGCTTCAATTCGATTTCAACTTTGATAGTAACTCTTTCCGTGGTATGTACTTTTCACGTAACCTGGTCTCTAAAGTTTATATTTTTATTATTAACCATACCTACATGAATATGAGTGTCAGCGACAAAATACTCCCGATTTAGCGATTCGGAGTGCAAATGATTTTTTTATGCAAACAAGATGTATCACATATACATGAAAATCTCCTCTCTCAAATCAAACAGCAATTTTTTTTATACAAGCAAGCACACTGAAATGAGGTTTGATTCTTCCTCCCACACTCTCTGCACTTATTAAGTCCTGCAAAATTCTACTGGATCAGCGGTGAGCTCTGGCTATCGCTGAAGTCCAACGTGTAGTACATGTCCGAGTCACCGAGAGGCGGAAATGACCTGCTCGAGGCCAACGGCCGACCCTTGTCCGGCACTGACAACTTGTTCAATGGAGCACATGGACTGGAAATGAAGGAATATTTTAATTGTGTTGGTAAATTTTGATAATTTATTACCTCGAAGGGCAGTGCTCCTCCATGAGGCGCCTGCTTCTGAAGGGCAGAATGGTGCAGTTTCTGTAGGTTTTGTGCAGGCGGCAGTGACAAACTGTCACCTGAAATTGAAAAACTTATTTAAACATTTCTAGTAACAAAAATTGAAATTAAAAAACAAACAGGGTTTTCAGCAAAAAATGTAAAATTTAATCACCAGACCTTCATTTGCTTCATTTTGAAATATTGTTTGGATAAAAAAAGAAATAAATACATAAATTTAAAAATTATGTCGTTTTGAGGAGAGGGTGGAGGGCGTTGGAAGTTTTTTTTTTTACTAGCTTATCAAACTTAAAATGAAAAATTCATTCTTCATTTTCAGGCAAAAAATTGATTAGAAAAATTTTAATATTCATTTTTGTTAACATAGAGTGTTATTTATTTATTTATTTATTTATTCTCCATTCAGATACAATGTTGCAAAAACTAGTTTAGCTTCAATTTATATACCAGCTTATTTGTTATAAAAGAAAAATTATCATTTATATTGAAAAAGTAGGAAATGATTGTAGAAGGAATAACTAACGGTGATGGTTACGATGAGCAGAGCCGAGGCCAGCGTGCCAACAGCAATGTAAACGCTGTGCAAATGATCCAGGTGAATGGAGATGGGGATGTCAAGAGCAGCGTCGGCGGGTGCGGCCGGCTCGTAGGGATCAGACGGATGCTGCGGCGTCGGAATGGCTTCCAGCAGGAAGCGGTCTGTGGATAGAGAGAGAGAATGAGTAAAAAGAAAAAATTGTCCATAAAAATTAATTCTCGCTGCCGGGGCGAAAGATGAGAAGAAACTGCCGGCGCCAGACGAGTGAGTAGTGCACGAGGGGTTTAATAAAGAGTTGCTGCCGAGAGTGGCGCCGGTCTGCAGATAAAAATTTATATTCCCTGCCGGTTGCATAATCCCGAGCAGCGGCATTGCGGCGAGAAGGGAGCAAAAAATAGCTCCGCTGGTAACCAGATTTACGGTCAAGTTTATTTAATCTAGCGGTGTAAGCAAGAGCGCAACTCTGCCATTTAATCTATGTTACTTGGATACATACCTTGGCATGTTTTTCCGGTGAATCCAGGTCGACAGGCGCAGTAAAAGGTGTTCGCAGAACTCCAGCAAGTGCCGCCGTTTCTGCATGGCTTACCACTGCACGCCTGCATTGAAAAAATTTTGAATCAGATTTCTTAATAGATCAAGATTTGAGGTTAAAATTTATAATTAATGATTTTTTTGGTAAGTTTATTATCTATTTATTTGATTTGTAATAATTAAAATAAAGAAATGAAGTTTAATTTTTATTTAAATTTTAATATAAATGCAAAGAAGAAAATTCTCAAAATAACGTGTTTTTTAATTCCCTAAATCATATAAAATTTCTTATATGAATTATCTATTATGTAGTAAATGAAGAAATTGGGTTTGTCCTCCTTGTAAAAATTGTTTTTATTAAAAAACAAATGGCTCTACCAGTTTCGGTCACGGTCTGCGACCCTATTTCATGTGCAAGAAAAATCTAATATTTGAGTTGAATCCGAGTTAATTCTATGAGTCAAAATAAATTTTTTTATTGCGGTATTAAAAATTCCAAGATGACTTTAGTTTTATTGCTCACCGATTTGCTTGGCTGCATGCAGTCCGGTCCAGTGAAGCCCTTGGGACACTCGCATGAGTAGTTGTTGCCGCGGTCAAGGCAGTAGCGGTGCTCGGCGCATGGATTAGGGTCGCACAGATCGACCTGTTATTTTGTATTTTTTTTATATTTTTTTTTTATATCACCCCACTGAAGTTGAAAAGTTAGCAAACCCACCTTGACGTGGCACCGTTTTCCCGAGTAGCCGCGGCCGCAGTCACAAGAGTAGCCACCGATGTGGTCGGTGCACGTGCCGCCGTTGATGCACGGTGAACTTTCGCACTCGTTGTACTCGTATTCGCAGTGCTCGCCCGCAAAACCTGCAACACCACCGCAAGAAGATTGCATTTTTGGCCGGAATTAGAGTAAGGCTATTTCTGTTATGAAAATTATGGAAACCGCAATGTGGTTTTTGTAAGAAGAAAAAGGAAAGGAAAATTAATGAATACTGTTTGGCCTGGTTTTTTTTAACTGACTTTAAATAATATATTTGACACAAAAATGATTTTTATATTCATTTTTTATTTTTATTTTTGTAAAAATAAAAAAGGTTTTTTTTTTTTAAATTGTTGACTGTCCAATTAGGAAAAATTATTTTCTCCTAAATCACACCTGGCTGACAGAAGCATCTGTATCCGTCTTCTTGATCGACACAGATACCGTGGACGCAAGGTGCGCTTGCGCACTCGTCCCTGTTGTGCTGGCAGAGTTGACCAACAAAGCCAGCTGCGCATGCGCACTCAAAGTGAGTAGCATTGCCAGCGCACGTTCCGCCATTCAAACAGGGGGAAGAGTCGCAAGGGTCGGCCTGCTGCTCGCAAGTTTTGCCAGTGAAGCCTGTAACAAACAAAACACAGATTATTCGATATAATATTTTTTTTCTCAATTCGCCGAAAAAATAATTAACGATAAAAAATATAGAAATCATAAGTATCATTTATCAATTTCAATTTAATCTCGTAGTTAGATCATTGTTGAATTTAAATTCTTTATACAGTTTTTGTTTAAAGAAAAATTGACATCCGAAGAGATGATCATGGAAATGAATAAATCATTTTGACTCGTAAAAATTGTTTTTATTAAAAAACAAAACGGTACCAGTTTTGGTCACGGTCTGCGACCCTATTTCATGATCAAACGCGCTGTTCGCTGACAAGAAGAAAATTTCAATTTTAAGAAAAAGATAATGAAACTGGTACCGTTTTGTTCGAATAAAAACAATTTTTTTTCAACGAGGACAAGCCCAATTTCTTTTCTTTGTAAGGTGTTTGTTATTTCGACTTTTTAGCCAAATTCTTGCAAGTGGAGCCTTTGTCCAAAAATTCTGTTTTCCGTCAAATTTATGTTTTTTTTCCTGTCAAACGTCAAGCAAAAAATCCTGATGTTCTGAAGTATGCCACCATTTGAGCACGCTTGTTCCGCAGGTTGCATACTCTGCCCCTTGGTTGTTGAGAACGTTACTGGGAACTAACACGGAAAACATCCTCTCTTTATTACTATTTTTGATCATTCAAAAGGATTTTTCCACGAAGGGTTTCACTTTCAGCTCTAATATGTTGTCCGCTTCACCATGGAAGCAAGGAATAGGCCCAATAAAATTCCCCATTCATCTGGCTGGAGCGTTGTCCCATCCTTTTGTCAGCAAACCAATTTGTCCCCGTCAGTCCCGATCTCTATTTACGCCCTGCTCACGTGTCAGGACAGGCGCGAAACACAGGAAGAAGTGCTTTTTCCAGGAACGCAAGGAGAAGTGGCGAAATTAAAAATTCCTCCCTAAAAATAAAGGAACGATTCATCATTTACCCATCGCACCAGGGCGACACGTGATAAATCCCAATTAGTGGCCTAAATGGGAATTCCTCCTCGTGAGCACAATATTTCATAATAATAACGTGCAAGCAGGGGCCGCTTATTAATTTCCGTGCGCGGAACACTCGCGACGGGGCCATTTTTACACTTCAACGCGCAAATTAGGCGAGAGATGAGGGCCATTGTTCTCCATGGAAGATAGATGGTCTGGCTTGAATTCTACAGAATAAAAAAGCATTATCAACAATAAGTTTCAAATATTTTTTACTGTTTCGTATTTTTGGTGCAGTATAAAGGGAGAATGGGCTTTAAGAACGCTAATTTATCTTTTACAGTAAAGGATGAAACTTGAAAACCTTGAAAACACAAAAATCCCCATTTATTAGATCAAATTCTTTTAAAATATATTTTGGTTTAAGGAGCAGTTTTAATTTATGTAACACAAAAATTTAGCTTTATTACTATTTTAACTAAAAGTTTGGCCCACTAGCTCTTCCAACCTTTGACATTTGCACAAATTTAAAATAACATGAGAGCGAACGCGTAATGAATCAGTCGGCCTTTTTGCCTTTTCGTTTGAAACGAAACTGCCAATCGGCGTTGACCTTTTTCGTTGGCACGGTACGGCAGTGGCGGCCAATAATTGTGTTTCGACGACATTTCAGCCGCAGCGGGCGCAACATGGGTTGGATTTTAATCAGCTGCAATTTGCATGGACGCGAGTTGCATCGGCAAACAGCCCTGTCAAAACGTCGCTCCGCTCATTTGCATCACCCGATTGGATTAAAATTCATTATTGCGGTTGGATATTTATGGCTTGGCATGATTAGTGGATTAATCAGAGCTGCAAATCAACAACGACGAAAACGAGGAGGAAATTCGAATCTGACGAATCTCTCCGATTTCCCCGAAAGAAAAAGTTTCTAGTTGCTGAAAATTGCCTTTGTTCTCTCTGCAGGTGCGAGAGAAGAAGAAGAATTGATTTTCTCCGCCAATTTGTTTCTTTCCTCTTCAGCACCACTCGCAGTAGCAGAGCGAGCGGGAAAAGCCCGCATTGTAAATTTACACGCGCCGTCTTAAAACTGTAAAACTGCGTCGTCTCCAAACGTCGCCTTTTCGCTAACAATTTTGTTGACGCTCTGGATTTGACTTTTTAACGAGCAGCTTCGAGAGCTCGCGAGAAGAGAGAGTAAAAGAGAGATGAGGTGCGGAGAGGAATTTCGTTTGCTTAGTTTGCCGGCAGAAGGATCAATTTTATTCGCACTCGGCTGCCGAATTCACTTTTGCAGCCGCGCGTTGATCCTTTTCCGTTCCTCCGTATTACTGGATTCAAATCGAGTTTCCTCCTCTCATTCCCTTCGCAAACGGATTATTTGAGAGCTTGTGATGGGTATAAAATCTTGCACAACACCATTTGCAAAATCAATAAAACACTTTGTAAAAGCCCGGATTATTTTGGGGGCGAAATAGCACTGCGCTTGATGGTAAATAAAAAAAATTAAAAAAATCTATTTAATGTTGCCATAATTCTATGGAGAGTGAAAATTTTTGCTAATCTACAACTACGACTCGTCCAAATGTTAAAAAAATTAACTTCGAATGAAACAATTTTAAAATAGGTGAGAAATTAATAAATAAAATGTTTTACATATAATGTAACGGCCCACAACCATGGTTTTCTTTAATAAATTCATTCATTAATTTATTAATATTCATATATAACAATGAATTTAAATTTTAAATTAATAAAAAAATTAAATTACCAATTTATTCAAAACCATTTTGAATTTTACCAACGGCATATCGCACATGGCTCATTTTATCCCCCGCAAATTTATTCTGCTCGCAGAGCACCGTCAATCTCGAGCGCCCTTTCGCACACTGGCGTGACACTATTTACGGCGCTCTCACAAACCGTTTATCGCGCACTGGGACCAAAATTATTAATGGCGTTTACCGGCGTGGGGCGATTTTAAATAAATCTTTCGTCCGGCTAGCAAGCGACAGGCCAATCTGACTGCACACTGGCTGCAGATTTATTTTGCGCGCCAAGGACTTCGCTCCAAATTGTGTTTGAAAAGGAACATTTCGCTCTAGGAATGTGGCAAGTGAAACGATGCGCGAAATTTACTTTTTGATTTATTGCTCTGGATTCGATCAGAATGATCAGATGAAGAAATAATCGCCTATTCAAAATACTTAAATCAGATTTTTCTAGGTAGCCAAAAAACGTCGACTCTAAATTAATTAACAGCAAAAACGTATAAATTTATTCAGACAAGGACTACTTGAATTAATAAAAAATAAATGCTAAAAATTGGCTTTTACTTATAGATTAACTTCAAAATTGTCAAAAATACAATTTTTAATCAGTATAACAATATTAAAAGTTAATATTAATAAAAAATATTAAATTATCATAGTAAAAAGAAATTACACAATTTTCAGATTTTTCTAAAGAAAGTAAGTTATTTTAATGGAAAATAATTTTGTTCTTAAGAAAATGCGTCTTAATGGCGCGCGTCAGGCGAAGAAAAGCGCCTTGGAGGCTTTTCAACGCCGAGGTGACAAAAACGAATTAACTCGCTCCCACGTGATGAAGGCTCAATTAGCTGCAAAAAGCATCGCGGAGCAGCGAGACGGTTATTGTTGTGATCTCAAAAGATTGAGGCAGGCGCGGAAGTAGTCTGGCTGGAAGTAAACTTGGACAAATTAAAAATCTTGGTCGGCTCTGCATACAGAAGGCCAAACGCGACCGCTGCATACAATGACGAGTTAATAAAATCACTCGAACGGGTTGCTGAAGTAAAGCACGACTTTGACAGCGTCATTCTCACGGGCGATTTTAATCTGGACGTTAATTGGATGCATGACCCGCCAGTCGCCGGCCTCGCACCCGCAGCAGAGTTTTTGGATATTTTTGACGACCTCTCATTGACACAATATATTAAAGACGCAACCCGCACAACAGACTCCACATCAAAAATTCTTGACCTCGCCCTTTGTGACGCTGAGGGGTTAATTGCAAGGGCGGAAGTCACCCCTGGTGTGAGTGACCATGATGCAATTGTGCTTGAGTTAACTGTTCGGCGAGAAAAGCCCCGACGCGCCCGCCGAGAATATTTTGACTTTAAAAAAGTGGATTGGAATGAGCTTGGAGTGGAACTTTTCAGAAAATTGGAAAATCTGGAATTTAATTTCTGCTCAGTGAGTAAAGCTTGGGAGAAATGGCAGCAAATGTTTTTTGTTACCCTCGCCGAAATCGTTCCAAAGAAAATTGTCCGCCCGAAGAAACGAAAATGCGCACCATGGCTCACAAAAGAGGTCAGCTCGCTTATGAGCAAACGAGACAAAATGTATGCAGCCTGGCGAAAAACAAAATCAGCTTTCTCACGTCTCGAGTTTGAAAAAGCGAGAAAATCTGTGCAGAAGGCAGTTCGACTGGCACGCGATAAGTGGATGTGGGATCTGGGCCGTGGACCAGGCGGAAATAAATTTTTCTGGAACTACGTGAAGGAGAAGAGTAAAGTTTCGCCTGCAGCCGCAGTGTTTGACATTGGCGGCGAGAAAGTGTCGAAGCCCGAGTTAGTCGCCTCCGCGTTCAGCCGTGCGTTTCTCAAGAATTTCAATACTGTGCAAAACTATTTCCCATTCGTGCGCCGATCACCTGCCAGCGCGGCGGCCCCAGTGTTAAGTGATTTCTCTGTTAGCGCAGCGAGTGTGTGCTCCCATCTGCGGCAAATAAAAACAAATGCAGCGACCGGCCCCGATAACGTGCCCGCGATTGTGCTGAATAAGTGTGCCGCCTCACTCGCCCCCAGCCTCGCTCGAATTTTCAATCTTTCCCTTCGGCAGGGTGCACTTCCAGAGGGGTGGAAAACGGCCGCAGTCACTCCTATTTTTAAGAGTGGGAAAAAGTGCTGCCTGGACAATTATCGCCCCATAAGTGTAACTTCATTAGTCGGAAAAATATTAGAAAGGTGCGTGCGAGACAGGGTTGAAAATTTTATAAACGAGAGCAAAATTAT